AGAGAGAGAGAGAGAGAGAGAGAGAGAGAGAGAGAGAGAGAGATCCACATTGGTTTCTTCTGTCATCTGCTATCTTTTTTTTCTCCCCCCACCTTTTTAATGGTTTGTAATCTTGCCTTTAAATGTTCCTTTAAAAAAAATCCTCACCTTTTGTCCTTAAGGTCACTTGCCATGCGACCTTAGTTATCATTGCCCTGAGTTTATTAAAATCAGCTTTTGCAAAATCCTGAGTATGTGTAAGGGCTGCACTCCATTTTTGCTTCCTTTTTAAATCACGAACTCAAGTGTGTTGTGGTCACTTTCCCCCAGCGTTCCTGTAACTTCACTAAGTCATCCCTACTAGTCCGTATTAAATCAAGGATGGCTGATCCTCTAGTTCCTTCCTCCATGTTCTGTAGCAGCAAGTTACCTGCCATGCATGAGAAGAATTGCTTGGAGGGATCACTTTTGGCAGAATTCATCTCCCAACAGATATTGCGGTGATTCCCCATTGCTACCACATCACATTTCCTTGAAATACCGGCAAATGGCTGCGGAAAAGTGTCGCCCTCATCTTCCCCTTGATCGCGTAGTCATTAGTAAACTCCAACTAGCATGTTCCCTGTATTTCTTGGCACATTTATGTTGATGCAGATGCTCTTGATGGGGCTACCAGGAACATCTCCCTGTATTTCTGGCCAAGGATAAGTATGCTTAGCATATAATGGAGCTCTGCCTTCTTTCCTAATTCTTGCGCTCGTTTGGAACCACCTTTCCATTGCTATATTTCAGTGTTAGCATCCCCGCAAGTTTCAATAATACCTAACAAGTTGGATTTGCCTTCATGTAGTAAGAATTCAAGTTCATCCTAACCTGAGGTTTTCCCATTAGGCATCATACCAGAAGACATTAACAGACAGGAAATGTATTTGATGCGGCACCTAATCACAGCGGCGAGGACTGCATTTGCTCAATATTGGAAAAGTGAGGAGCTACCCACCGATGGATTGATTGTAAGAAAGATCTTGGCCTGCGGAGAAATGGATAGACTGACTTTATCATTGAAGGAGAAAGAGGATACTGACTTCTATCAAACTTGGGATTTTTTCTATAATTGGCCGGAGAAACGGGACTTGGCGTAAATTTAGAGATGTTTTCAAGTTATTATAAACTGATTTGAATTTAACTATAGAATGTTAAAATATATGTAGTAGGGGGTTGACCCAGTAAATCCGATGTATGTGATGTTTGATGTTTTTAGTATTAGCTTAAAACTTTAATAACACTTAAAAAAAAGAATTCAAGTTCATCCTGTTTGTCTCCCATTCTCTGGACATTAGTGTACAGACAGACACCCATGTCTGGCTTCTTTCCTGCACTATTTGGGGGTGCAAGTGAAGTTATTCTCTGTGTTTTGCTACATATCCCTTCATCCACAGCTGCCTCCAAGTCATGTCTCCCTCCCCGGTAAGACTCAGCTTACAGCCCTCCTGATGGAGGGAGGGCTGTGGCCAAATATTGTCTTTCCTCCTCTGGTGAGTTTCAACCCATCTCTTGCCAGCAGTGCATCATCCAAAGAGCGTAGGAGGGTGGGCGTGGGGTAAAAACCCAGGAGTTTATTTAAAAAGTGTATTTATTTTTACATGTTTAAACTCCAGTCACCTTCAAAGTACTCTGTTTGATGCAATACACCTATCATTTTTTCCACTGCTCAAAACAGGTTTTGAACTTGTCGATTTTCATACCTTTTAGTGCTTCTGCTGTTTTCTGTTTCACCTCTTCCACTTTGGCAAAACACTTCCCTTTGAGGACTTTTTTCATCCGGGGGGTGGGGGGGGGATGTACAGGGCAAGATCGGGTGAATAGGGAGGGTGGGGCACAAGGGTCACACCATTTTTGGTCAAAAACTGCTGAGCATATGTTATCTGAAAGGGCTTGCCGGAAGTTTAATATTAGATGTTAGAGATAGTAATACCCTGTAAGCACCAAATGTGATCTGTGGATGCAACCTGCATAAAAATACAAAGTTCATCCTGTATATCACTAGCTCATTGGCTCTTTTATCAAAATCAGACGATCTTCCACCCCTCAGTTAATCATTCTAATTAGGCCTTTTTCCAGTCTTCACTTAATAGTTTATGTGTCAGTTTCCAAACTGATGCTCTTTCCATCCCTGCCCATTGATTCAACAACGCTACAAGTGAGAAGCATCTTGGAATTGTTGGAGATCACCAACTGAGTATGAGTCAACAATGTGACATGGCTGCAAGAAAAGCTAATGCTATATTTATTGGGTTGCATTAGCAGAAGTGTAGCTTCCAAATCATGTGAGGTACTGGCTTCCCTCTCTTCAGTCCTAGTTAGGCTCTGTCTTGAGTACTGTGTCCAGTTCTGGGCACCAATTAGAAAATGTTCAGAGGAAAGCAAGAAAGATGATCAGGGGATCGGAAACAATATCCTATGATGAGAGAATGAAAGATCTGGGCACGTTTAGCCTTGAGAAGACTGAGAGGAGATACGACAGCAAATTTTAAATACTTGAAAGGCCTTTTACAAAAAAGAGGGGCAGAATCTTTTAATCATCCCAAAGTGCGGTGCATGGAATCATGGGCTTAAATTGCAGGAAGCCATATTCCAGCTAGATATCAGGAGAAACGTCCAAGCTATTAGAGCATACAGTGACGGAACCAATTACCTAGGGAGGTTGTGGGCTCTTCCACACTGCAGGCATTCAAGCAGCAATTGTACAGTCATCTGTCAGGGTTACTTGAACTTGGGGTCCTGCACTGAGCAGGGACCCCAAGACCACTCAGTGGTCTTACGGGCCCCTTCCAACTCTACTGTTCTATGATTCCATGATTTTGTGCTACATACATCATCTTAATCCCCATGCTACAAAGATTTCTCAATGCAGCACAGGAACACCAGACTGCTGTACTAATCAGGAAGAGAATCAAACAACAGGCACATGTGTGTGGTGTGCAGAAGCTTTTAACTTTCACAGCCATAGGAAAGCACTGAGGTTCTCTTGCAAGCAAACCTTTAATTTTCATATTATAAAGTTCATTTCCAAATAAAGAAAAAGAGTCTCCATCAGATCCTTTTTGCTGAAAGATCCTGAAAACAGTCCCTTCTTGTTTGACCTCTAAATATCGAAATATAATTGGGCTACATTCATGCTTTCTGATTTATGCATAGAAACAGCACCGAGAAATGGAAAGAGGCAGGTTTTCCTTTATCTGCCATAAATAACAGCTTAATTGCAAGCATCACAAGAACCACTACATAGCAACCAGAATGAATCTCAGCAACAATACAGGTACATTGTTTAACCAGAGATACAGCTGCACTTGTTTTACTATGCTGAACACATTTGTTGTGTTGATAGAATGCATCGATTATTGCGGCTCAAAGTCCTCACCCAGGTGGACTCGAAGAATGAAGGGTCCAATCTTGGAGCAGTTTTAGCCATCTTCCTTACAAACGGGAGACCGACCTTTAATGGAATTACTGGTTTGAGCTGCACTTTTAAAACACTGGCACAGCAAGTTTGCATAGCAGCTTGAAATGGCATCTAGATTTTACACAACAAAATTCATGGGTTTTCCACTGTTTCTAGGCTGCTTGTTTTCAACCTGTCTCTTATCTCTAAAATGGGAATGTTACAGATACTAGTCAGAACCATTTGAAGGATCAACAATAAAGCACTTTACTAATTTTGACTACTCCTATGATCTTAAGAATGTTTAGGCAGAAAACTGTGCTAGAATGCTAGCAGTGGTAGAACTTCTGTCTGTCTAAACATCATATGATTGCAACCTCAACCATGGACATTTTTAGATTCCTAGCACTGAGCCAGAGGTTGATCATCTAAGATATCTAGAAAACCCAGCTTCCAACATTTTGTCTTACTCTAGTAAGAACATAAAATAAAACAATGGATGGGGCCATTCAGGAAGGGGTAGATTTGATTCTTAACATCTGGGAGTTGAGGCCCTCCATTGTCTATCATTCCTTGGGTGTCTCCTTGTTGAATGAATGGTTACTGTTCACCTGGATGGAGAAGGAAGCCTGTGCTGCTCTTAGAGATACCATTGCTGTGAAGACAGACCAGGACAGAGTCTAGATTCTATTAATCTGTAAAACCATTGCCTTAATCTCAGTTTATATTCATGAGTATTCAAACAAGGCAGGATGCCTCCCTGTATAAGTGCACTATCTGTGGATAAAGATATTCCTAAAAGGTTTAACAGAACATTTCTCCATCCAATGTAACATGTGTCTTGATCGATTTGAGGATAACTCCTTTACACACATTTCCTGAACTGCTCCAGTTGGCTGCCTGTACGCACACTGATGTCAATGCACCAAGCAATAGTTGGGAGAAATAAAGTTCTGTTCAGCTTTATGAGACCCCCTCCACATATAATGTAGCTGTATGGGAAAGGATCAGAGCCATTTTGGTTATTACTCAGCACTCTGAGTGATAAACAAGTCAACTTTTTTCTTTGGCTGATTATGGACACCAGCAACAAATTTCCTGAAAGTGATTAAAATGTTAAAGTGCTACCAGGCAACATTTCCAAGAAGGCAAGGATATCGATTTTATTTTTACTGAGCATATGATAGGACAGCTTCGAAGCCACTTGAACAGTATTCTGCATAACAAGCCAAGCAAAATGACATAAATACTCGAACCCATTCCTTGCGATGAAGACTTCCACTGGATCATTGACAACAGGCATTGAGTTTGAAGTGCAAGCTCTCTGATCTACCATAAGAGCTGTCATCTGACAGTGGAAATGGTCCCCACAACACGCACGCACACACATGCGCACTTTTTAAAGTGAACCAATGGCTGTATCACTGTTGACTTTGGCAAACTGTGACTCCACAGAACAAAGGAAAGCCTTATTTACAAAACACTAGCATACATTTCTAGGGGAGATGAGCAAAGCCTGCGCATTTCAGTGTGCAGACAGGACTCTCCCATTCCAATTCAATGTGGACTATGAAACAACTCGGTGAAGTCCCACCACAATTGCCAGAATTACGTATCACATTAGACTATCATTTGGTTATCCTTTAGGTTGGCTCAGAGTCCATGGTGACATGGATTCAGTTCCGGCTTTCCTGTTGGCTCACTCTACTGGGGATCCTTCTTTCTCTTCAATGCTCTTTTCAGGCAAACTCTCTGATTTGTCCTCTGATGGATTACCGAATCCGGGATCTTCTGGCTGAGTGCCATCTCCATCATAGATGATATCTTCTGGATTTGGAGGTGGTGGACAAAATTCCTCATTGGGAAACATCTCCTGAAAAATGGCTTCAGCCTGTTTGAAGGTTGGTTGGGGGCAGGGGAGAAAATATGCGTTACTTCGTTTACCGCAACTGTAGTGGCACATCCAACAGCAACATAGGGACTTGTTTTATTTGCCTCACTATATGCTGGTCTTTCAATTTTGCTGCTAAAAGACAGTAAAATGCTTTATTTATTCATTTGTTGCATTTAAACCCAACTTTCCTACTGGAAAGGCCATTCTAAAGCAACTTACCACAACAAAGCCATAGTTACAATTAGAAAAACTTGCAAAAAGGAAGGAAGGAAGGAAGGAAGGAAGGAAGGAAGGAAGGAAGGAAGGAAGGCAGGCAGGCAGGCAGGCAGGCAGGCAGGCAGGCAGGCAGGCAGGCAGGCAGGCAGACCAGCCGGCTGTGACATCCTGTCCTCCTCAACCCATGGATTTTACTTAGGGATCTACAATACAGCAAAACCCAAAGCAATTTGAATTCTACCTCGAATCTGTAACAAATCACATATTTGTTGGGTTTTTTTAGATATGAAAATGCATGCATATCTTGCATATATTTTCAAATATATACATCAATTGTCCACATCTTTGAAAATTATGTATTCTTCTGATTAAAGTATAGTTATGCTACTTTTTCAAATGGAGATATGTGATTAAACACATTTAGTATGGTCTGCAACTCATACTGAAAGCTCTGCAATGTATAGCTTTCAACTGCTGGTTGCATCTAAGGTCGATCTGGGAGGCATGGACTGAAACCAATTTCTCACCCATGATTCCATCCTTGCACCTCTGTCTCTCTCTCTCTCTTTCAAGCTTTTATAGACTGTCCCATTACTAGCATCTTGGGATGGTTTACAAAATTGTCCCATCCCAGTAAAATCGCTTCTACTTCATCTCATAGGACCAGAATGGGGTGCAAAAACTGTGCTGAAGAACCGTGAGGGAGGAGCCCTGCTTTTTCACCACTTCATGGTCTTAGTTTCCCTCATGGAACACAAGTGACTCCATTCCAGCAGGGAAAGCTCAGCAAGCAGTTCTTTCCTTGCTTCTCCTCTAATCAAAGGACAGAAGTCTGAGGCTTTAAAATTTGTTTCTCCTTCAAGGTGGTATTTAAACAAGCCTGCAGTTCTTTTCTGAGCATGGCTTGAGGGGACTTCTCTTATCAACATTTAGCTGAAAGATGCAAATGCAAGACTCTGTTACCTGTCTGACAGCACAATCATTTCCTAAGGCAGGGTCTGGCCCAGAGCAAATGTAGATGTTCGAGGGTACATTTTCATACGAAGTCCTGTCTACACCGGATGAGTCTCGCATGTTGAAATAGACCAGCCAGAGAATCTGAGGCTTTTGCCCTTCATCTGTGCCTTCGCTTGCTGAACAAATAGAAACCAAACTTTCACCATCAGTATGCAGATGGCCCAAGACTAGCACAGTTCAGCAAAACATTTTACAAGGAAGGTCCAAACCTAGGTGTCCCCACATTTAGGATTTAGGAAAAGGGTTTTCTTGGTGGTAGAGCCCAACTGCAGAACAGCCTCTCTGGAGAGATTTGCTAAGCCTGTACAATCTGTTCATCTGGTCCAGGTTAGAAAGATTTCTTTGGAAGAACTTGATGCTCACTTATATTGTTAGCTCTCTGCATATACTGAGTTGAATCTGGTTGTCTTAATGTTAGGTGTCTTTATTCTTTATCTGAATGGTATTTGTAGACTATTGTGAGAAGGCAAGCTATATATATTTAAGATGAAATCAAATACTACATTTACAATTTGGTTGTAGATAAGCGTTCCTGAACACCTCTGCCTCCCGCTGCTCAACCTTTTCTGCTTAAAAAACAGGCATACCAATGGGAAAAGCCATGTGCTAAGGTACTTTTTAAGTCAGAGATGGGATTAAGAAGTTCCCCACTATGGCTTGAGACCCAAATCTTTCCTTGGATGCCCTGAGGTCATCTACTACCCACCTGGGGGAGGGGGGGGAAGCACCCTGCTGAAATAAAGGTCCAGATGATCTGTATTTCATCTGATACTCCTGGATTAACTGGCTTTCTGCCTACACGTACTTCCATCCCACTGCCAAACTTTCTGTTCAAGGTAGTGGTTTCTCCTCCAGTTGGAGGTCTTCCAACAGAGGCTGGATAGCCCCCTTTCAAGATGCCTTATCTCTGGGTTTCCCGTATGGAACAAGATGCTAGACCAGCATGGTCCCCCTCCCACATCTGAGTTTCTAGCAAAAATAAGCCAACAGTAAGTCTACCTTTCTGAAGCATGAGAAAGGTTATTTTTCCAAAGGATGTGTCTAGATGTCACCATAGAAAGGCACGCACATGCCCCCGCCCCCCTGTGTGCATGTGTCCGTGTGTGTGTGTGAACTGGCTGTATTCAGGATCCCTATTGCAGTCAATGGAACTTTAGTCACAACTCGCTTGAATGCCATTAATGTCAGGGACTCAAAATATACCTGCCCCCAGCTCCAAACATGGTTATGTGCAGGTTTTCAAGGAGAGCACTCGCTCAAAAAATATTGTTTGGGAGAGTTGGTCTGCTGGCAGAGAGACGTGGGGCTTCTCACAGTGGGAAGAGTTCTTTTTGAAATATTATTGAAAGTTCCTGCTGTTCATATTAAAAAAAAGTTACTTCTTCCTCATTTAGTCAGGAAAATGAATAGAGTCCCTCTCCCTTCAGGTGACTTTGCTTCCCTGACCTGCCATGGCCCAGTGCTCACTTTATCTGGTGATTCATTTTCAATAACTCCAACAGTATTTGTTCTGACATTTTAATTAAAATACGACCACTACCTCATCTTGATGATAAAAAGGCCTATGTGTCAGTGAAAACTAGCTTCTTGGTGCTTCGGTGCACCTAAGGACCGTCCTGATCATAGAGTCCCTCCAAAAGAATTTCAGGCCGATTTTAAACAATACATCACTTCAAAACCAGATCATTTTAAGCATTAAGATTAATGCTAAGAAAGAAAGGGGGGGGGAGAGGACAAGAGCAGCCTAATAACTTTTTTTTAAAAAAATCTTTTGGGTCTTTCAGATCTGTGCAAAACTGTTTTTTTTTTAAATTAAAAGAGGGAAGATATATCTGCAACATAAGTGAGCGAGTTTGCAGCATTTATATGAATCACTCTTTGGTCTTCTCATGGAAGCTAGAAGATGAGTAAATTGTTTTTATTTTGTGTAATGAAGAGTTCCCTGAAACCCCCAAGTCAGGGGCCCTTCATAGAGTCCCCACTGGAAAAATATGATATATTCAAACACACACACAGAACCTTGTTCTTATTTAGTCCAGCGAAATGTATGCTTTGGCCCAAGCTTGTATTTCCTACCTTTGGGAACCAAACACTGTTATTCCTGCATAAGGTAAAGGTAAAGGTTTCCCCTTGACATTAAGTCCAGTCATGCCTGACTCTCGAGGGCAGTGCTCATCTCCACTTCCTGGCTGAGGGAGCCAGCGTTTGTCCACAGACAGTCTCGGTGGTCGTGTGGCCAGCATGACTAAACACCGAAGTGCACGGAACGCTGTTACCTGCCCACCGAAGTGGCAGCTCTTTATCCACTTGCGTTTGCATGCTTTCGAACTGCAAGGTTGGCAGGAGCTGGGACGGAGCAACGGGAACTCACCCTGTTGTGCAGATTTGAACCGGCGACCTTTCGATCTACCAGCCCAGCAGCACAGCGGTTTAAACCACTGCGCCACCTGCAGCCCCATTATTCCTGCATATGGAGTGCTTTATTTCCAGCTATTAACAGCAGCAGATGTATCATTACTGCTATCAATAGTATTACATTAAACCATTAAATAAATGGCCAGTATTATAAACACTATGATCTGCAGCATTTTTATAAAAGTGCTGGAAATTCATTATTTCATAATCCTTCACATCAAATGCACACAACCAAGGGCTGTTAACCTAACTTTTGACATCCAAGAGGGGCGCCAACCAGCTTGCGGGTAGAAGACATTTTAGTTGAAAGAGAAGCGAGAATGCCTAATCTGGCCGGTTTTAACTGAACAACCCCCGTGCTCCCACCACCACCAACTTACCTGCTTCTGTGGTGTCACTAAATAACTGCTTCACAACAGGTTCCAAATCTGCTTTAGCAGTTTTAACGGAAGAGCATGTTAAATGAACCAAATCTGTTGAAAGAAAATGGATTATGATTCCCCCACTGTCCTGCATTCAAAATATTAAGTATTGTCAAAATGTAAGTATAATGCTGTTTGGGGGAGAGAGGAAATACAACTAATTATGAAGCTCCAAAGTCCAGACTTACAGAATGAAAATTATCCAATCTTGAGCCTTAGAATTAAAATATTTCTTTCCCCCCCTAACCATTTCAGCTACACATGCAGCCATGGACAACCCCCATCCAACCTGGGGAGGAGCTGGCTCCCTCCCTCAGGCCCTGCCCCCAGCCCAAACCCCACCTTCAGGAGTCTACTGCGCATTTGGGGAGATGAATTCCACCCCCCGCCCATTTCTGGTCACTGACTGGAGAGAACAGGGGGGTCACCTCCCAAGCAGGGGGTTCCTGCAAGCTTATGAGTTGAGAGGTGGGCAAGGATGCTCACTAATAGCCTTGGGGGGTCTCCCTGGCACATTCCCCACCCCCCTTCTCAGCTGTCATTGTTGCAGATACAACTTGCTTTGCTTAATGTGCAGATCAGCTCCGCCCTGGGCTCCAGCCCAGGGCGCAGTGGGACACATCCCCATGCCAGCCCTCTTTCAGGGTAAAAGATGCTCTCCTGGGGCAAGAGAACTTGATCACAAAGATTGCAGGATAAACTTCTTGCTGCACTAAAAGTGTGGTCATGTGAATCCACCCTGAACCACATTTAAATTGCACACCGCTTTGCAATTTAAAACCACTTCCATCCCAGGTGACAACAATTAAAATAACCACCAAACAGAAATTAAGTCACGAGTAAAATGCCGTAACATTATTCCAGCTATTAATGTGCACAAATTAATATCTGCCTTTCTTTTTTTCTCTCCCTCCCACCCTCAACTCTGTTACTATGAAGAATGTTCAAAGAAAGCCTCTCTCCGATATTTCCAAGAAGAAAGCGTGTGTATTGACTGGGAACATGGGGGAGAAGAGCTGGAAGCGAAGCCCAACCACTGCCTTGCAGCACCCTGGCAACATCAGCATATGCCCAAGGGACCTCCATGTTCGGATCTGACCATGGCAACCGCTCATGTTCAAACTGGATGTTATATCGGCGACAGCATAAATTCAGCCGTGGCGTGACGCGCCCTGCCCACAAAATGGAGAAATACATGGACGTGGGGGGAAAGGCCCCTGCCCGTTCAAAGCTAAATGCAAACTCCTAACGTGTCTAAATGCCGTTACAACCAGATGGAGCAAGCAGGGCACAGGAGAGAGTGATGGGGTTTGCCCTCCATTTGGCAATGCAGCTGTAAAATCACTCACAAGAAAAAACGGGGAGCATTAAAGTCTTGCAAATTAGGGCTTCCTGTGGTGTCTTATAATAGAGTTTAAAAAATTAAGATAACCATCTGTCATTTTAATGAATGAGCATTTTCAGTCCAATTGACCTGAAATGTAAATACATAATTATGGCTGTTCTACAAAAACGTATTAAAGCGATTTTTAAAAATAACAATGGGCAGAAACAACAGCAATAAAAGTACACGCAGGTACGACAGGCAGCTGCTTCTTGGGCTTTACTGCTGCATTTGCCGAGTCTCATTTCTTTTAGTTCAGCGGTGTTGAAAGTCCTTCAGCCCAGGGGGTGGCGTGCACTTCAGAGAAGTTCCAGGGGGTTTCATGCCAGTGATGGGTGGGCCTGGGAGCAACAGCGGTGGGTTGAAACAACAGCCTCTCTTAGGTGAAAGCCCTCAGGGTGCTGTCCACTGTGGCTGCCCATAATTGTCCAAACTAAGAGAATTATGAACATCCACTGGAAGGAGGAGGAACACAACTGCTTCCACACTCCCCTTGCCCTCCAAGACAGGTAGATGGCTGATTTTGGCAGTCTAAATATTTTTCCTCTTCTTGCGATGCGGAGAGCTGGAGGCACCACTGGAAGTCTTCAGAGGGAAGTGGTACCCTGCGTCTTCCTTCCCTGCCCCACAGAATGCCTCCCTCTCCCCAGGAAGGAAGGTCTTCAGCCTGTGGATTCCAGCTGGTGTAGAAACAACCATGCTGGCAGTGAGCCCTCCAAGTCGAAGCCCCAGTTCCAACCTCCGAGTGTTTTTCTGATCTCACCGCTGGGATTCCAAAGTTCTGTACGGCTCCCTCCAGAAAATGTCGGGAGGCCAGAGTTACTGCCAGCAACTAAGGCTTCGGAAGATCACTCCTGTCTTTTAGAATGGTGGAAAATCTACACAGTAGTAGTCAGGGGAAGGGGTACGGCTCTCTGGGAAACCCCAAAGGGTCAGATTGAGTTCCCAGGCTTGCAATTCAAATAATCCTGATGCAAGCTGGTATGCTAGCCTCCTTGACTGTACTTGCATTTTTAATCTCATTCATTCCTATTGCATTGGGTTAGATTTGTTTATGTGTTATTGAAAACTGGGGTTTCACCTCTGCACTAACAGAGAAAGGGATATAAACAGAACGTGCTGCACACAGAAGGCCAGATATACACACATGTCCATATGGAGAGGCATCGACCATCCCAGAGGGCAGGACATGGAATAACTGGAGTAAGTTACAGGAAGCCACATCCTGGCTGCTATCAGGAATAACTTCCTGACTGTTAGAGCAGTACAGCAAAGGAACTAATTGCCATAAGCTAGTTTTCCTCCCTCTGCACAATCAAAGCCGCAGACTTTGCTTTCAAAATGTTCCTTATCGACCAAAACATTTTCCAGAAGCACAAACACCCAGGAAGAATCTCTAGCATGCACAGAATGGTTTGCTGAAGGATAAATTAAGCTTTGTTTCCCGCTTTAAAATCAAGAGCAGAGCCAAGTCAAACGGTGCACTCACGTGTATTTTTCATGCACGTCATTGCTGAAGAACAGAGTTCTATGAGGCAGGTGGCCGGCTGGCCTAACTCCATAGGTGGAATAGTCAAAATGGATATCTAGAAAGCAAAGTGAACAGAGTACCTAGGAAAACGTCCTTTCGAAGGACTCCATTTAACAGTGCAAGAACTGTTAGCATCTCCCTAACGAATTTTCCAAGTGTTATACCAATGTCTTCCAAACTATAATTTTTTGAAAAAGAGAGGTTTTTTACCCAGCATACCTTGCCCTGGTTGCTAAAGTGAGCTCATGTCAGAAACACCCTTTCTCCAGCAGTACATTTAGCTCAAAGAAAAGACAGTATTTATTGATGTTTAATTTCCACAAATGTCCTCAGCCATTATCTGATGGCCATTACAGAACTATCCCAATTAATTGGAGGCACTTATTTGTGGAGTTAGTACAGTGAAAGATCATTCCTCACTATGTAGTTGATTGTCTCATCCCTTCAGTTCTCATTTCGTTCTGAATTGTCAAGCCTGAAAAAGCTGAATATTTACCGACAAAGAAAGACAGATAAAGTACCTTCATTCTCACTGACTGTGGAGAGAGCAGGGTAACATTAAGTGAATAATCACATGGCACACTGTTTGTAAGAATATCCATTCTAATTTGCCCTGCGTGCAGTTCCATAATTACTTGTGCTTTGCATATCTATTAGGTTGCTCTGTGTATCTGTATCAGCTATATTTGGAAGTACACAGGCCATGCTGCCAGGGGATGATGGGAGTTCCTGTCCAACACATCTGCAGAGCACCAGGTTGGGGAAGACTGTCCTATGTACCTGTCTTGAGTTCCACTGTGGAAGAGGAATGGAATTGCAAATGTAATAAAGAACAATCAGGACATAAATGATGCGTTTATAGACAGGTGCTGGGAAAATGAAATTCTGAGGGGCCAGTGCCAAAATGCGGGTGTTTGGAAAACTGAGTACCAAAAGGCATATGCTAGAAGAAATGAGCAAATGAGAATATGGACTCATTTTCATGCTGACTTTTTTAAATGCAGAAACTGAATAGAATATTGGAAAAATGAGAAACTGGGTGGAATCGAATTTGACTAACTTGTCCTATTGACTTCAATGGGATTAAAGTGGAACAAATCCAACCCACAGGCTGTACTTATTTCAAGAATTCATTTAATTGATTTAGCATCAATCTTCGTTGTTGGTCATTTCTTAGTGTGGAGTGTTTACACATAGGGCATTCCTGTTTACCTGGTCAAAGAGTCTCATAAAGGCAAATCCCAAGCCTACTTACACAAATCCACTTCAATAACTGAGCAGACTTTATGACATAAAGTACGAACAGCAGCTATGTATGCAAAAAGAAAACAAAAACACAAATGGCACCGAATGTACCAGTATTAACAAAATGGGCTCACCTGCTGATCTGAGCTGGACTTCAATATTGATCGATCAGTAATGAGAATTGCTCTAGAGATCTGTCTAGAAATGGACAAAGCATGTATGACCCATCACCAAACATAAAAGAGGGACACCAAATGAATTCAGACTCGGTCAGTAACAACTCTGAGGCCGTCATGAGAAACGCTTATCAGTCCTCAACATGGCTGGTGACTTCTTTACAGACCAGCAGATTTGTTAAGAATTTAAATCCAATCTGATCCATGTGCGTAAAAGGACTGCCAGAGTTAGATCAACATCTAACAAACGACAATGATTTTATGTAATGCTTCATAGGAAATGTCACCTGTCATAAAATCACTCTAATGGGCAAAGTTGTCGAGCAATATATTTGATGGCCAAAAACTGTGCAAGTATTGGGTGCATTTCTCAAGAGGCTTTGGGCTTATGTTCCATGCAAAGCACCCTCCCACCTCAATCTGCATGGCAAACAACTTCCAGAATACTCAAGGACAATCTCTTTTATGGCACAAGGGTCTAGTGTGTAAAGAAGTGCAAAAACCCCTAAAACGCTAGACATACATAAATGAGTGTGCCTAAAATAGCTGTTGGGATCCGGGCCACCAAAGGATCCCAAGAGCAAGACATTTACAAATGTGCAACTGCTACCATTTAAAAATTGTTTGGTTATTTTAAACTTTTCTAATGGTAGACCAAAAAAAGGTGTGTGGGGGGGCGGTTGCAGTCATATGCACACTTATCTTGGAATGAGTCCTATTGACTGCAACAGGACTTAACTTCCAAATAGGCATGTTTAGCTTTGCATTGCAAGAGCACCTCTGGCTCACTTGAGAGATCGCCCTTTGTCGTCCACCCCAGCACGCATCTTCATACCTCCACAAAACTATGTGGAGCAGGGGAGTGGGGCTGGGGGGGCAGCCCACTGCTTATTATTGAGCGCCCCAACCACCAGAACTAGGAGGTCATGGTTCTGGGTGCCGTTCTGGGGGGCTTTCATTCGTGGGGGTGCCATAAGTCAGAGATGACTTGATGGCACAGAACAGCAAGAATGAACAGCCACAGCCCAGAAGGAACATTGAGCGACAGGCATGCAATTGACGGAAGAACTATGTGGAAAGGAGGCATAATAAACGGTCTGATGACAGACTGGAAATTGAGGTTCTGTGAGGGTCAATAGTGGCTCTCATACCGTTCAATTACTTTATCAATAACTTGGATGAAGACAGAGTACGCTTATCAAATTACAGGCAATTTAACATTGCGAGAGCTTTCAAACCTGTTCCAAGATGCGCAAGTCCTGCCCAAGGAGACCCTAAAGCCTACCGAGTCTAGCATGGGGCTTCTCACTGTGGCCAACCAGGTGCCTCCAGGGCGCATGTGAGCAGGACAGAAGCACAGCAGCATCCTCTCGCCCATGGCCCCAACAACTGCTGCGGAGAGCCCTGCGGCTTCCAGGACCAGAGGCGGCGTTCCTGTGAGCATCGCCTGCCAGGGAGCAGCAGGGAAAGGGAGCTGTTGCTCCCATGTCCACAGTTTAGTCTTTTTTAACTTCATATAGAACCCTCCCTTCTGCCCCAGACCGGGGCTCAAGGCAGCTGACAATACAAATCCAGATTAAAAACAAAGTCTTACTTAAAACATAACACAAAGTCTTGTTTTATTTCAATAAACAGCTACAGTCAATTAAAAATCCTGCCAGGAACTTATTAGGTCAACGGTCTGCCTGAACGGAAACCTATTTGCCATCCAGCAGAAGGAAAACTGCAATGGGAGCTACCTAGCCTCCCTCCCTATTGCACCCTCTTTGCACGTCCCCACCAAAAGTGCCTCTGATGGTCGTGTTAGCAAGAGAACAGCCGCTGCCAAAAAGCTTAAAAACCAGGCAGGCTCATGCATGTGGCCTTTCGGGAGGCTTGGCCTCAAGACGACTAAGCCGTGGGGACTTTCTAAAGGCGTTTGGTGGGCCACTGTGTGAAAGGGGATGCTGACTAGATAAGCCTTCCAGTCAGCTCCAGGAGGCTCTTGGCAAGACCCCTAAGTTTGCATGCTGCTGCGAAAGCATGAAAAGAAATGGCTGGATTAGTAGTTCCTGTTTCAGGTCTTCAAGATAATGCGCAACGCTGCCCTAAGTTCAAGCAATGTCGTAACTTTCCATATACAGAGACAGTGAACTGACAGCAAAGGAAACGGGGAGAGATTGCTCCTTTAATTACCTTGTTTTGGTTATATACCTCCTGAAGCATCCAGTATTGGCCATTGACAGAGACAGGAGACTGGACCAAACAGTCCATTGGCTTGACCCTCAGCAGCACTGTGGCGGCTTTTGAAAGTTCTTACATAACTATTAACTGTCTAATAATTGCCTCAGCAAAGGTTAATGGCCTAAATGAAACACAGGCAAGGAGGGGAAGGGGGGAATGGGTGCAAAAAGCAGGGCAGTTCAGTTCCATGCACCTTCAAGAAGCATCTGAGTTATTCTCCCAGGCTTTCCATCTGGCACCTCAACAAGGACACAAAAGTTACAGAAGAGTACCAATTCGATATAAAACAAGGGTAAAAAAAGTGCCATCAGGCTAGCAGACCCAAGATCTCGTGATGAAGGCAATACAGAAGGTAGCAAAGGGACTGATGCTAGGACAAGAATTCAAAATCAAATGACGACTACTGCCTGGTTACGACTACTTCTCAAAATACTGAGATTTCTTTCCCTCTAATCCATGCTGAAGAAAATGGGGCTTTCTCTCTGAAGGGCCAAATGTTCTTAAATGTGGGAGATCCGATCTCCCAATGTCTTTTTCAAAACCTGCTGTGAGCTGGTTTTGAAACTTTTCTCTACCCAAAAGCACATACACAGTGACCTGGGAGTAAGCATCACTGGACATGATATAAAAATAAGATCTACTCGGAAATTGTAAGATTGTATGGCATATTATTGTACTGCTGTTATAAACTGGCCAGGGAGCTTTGGCTACTGGATGGTACAGAAATGAAATAAATAATAAAACGGGCATGACTTTCCTTCCGTCTTGCGTACCTGTATGACACATTTGCACATATTTTCTCCGAAAGGTAACTATCTTCCACAACAAAGTATTTGGCACTTATTCGCTGCCCAACATTATCTATGACTGCTTTGCACCTGTTAAAAAGAGAGAACAAGAGTATCACCATCAGCAAAGTATTTGCCTAATTAGGACACACTTTTGGAAAAGTTTTCAGTCCTAAACTTCCCAGAAACTGTAAAAGGGTTTTTATTTTGTTGTGTTTCTATCATGGATTAAAGTTTTGTCTTTAAAGGTCTTCCCTTCCCTGAAGTAAGCTGGGTAGTGACTGGGGAGCCTTCCAAGTAGTTACCACACTTTACCTGGATGAGCACACCTGGCATTAGCATATCTTTTAGGTGCCAGGTGAGGATATTCTTGTTCTCCCAAACCATCATGGTGTCCATGCCCACGGGTTCTTTTAACACGCCAAAGTTTTAGTATAATCAGCTTTGTTTCAGTTTGCTGCTTTTATAGTTTTTGCATGATTTTATACCACTGGCTATTATGGGATGGTATATAAATATAGGGAAAAATCGGTGAGAGGTACAACTATTGGTCAATTTCAGTCCTCATTGCATTGTTTTAGGGTACTCCTTGCTTAGGTTCTCCTTCCTAAAGATTGCTCTTTAGGAAGGAGCATACTTTGAAGACTTTGGGATTCCTCCAGAACAGCTAATAATTCCTCTATCATACAGGGGGTACTGCCATTTTGACTGTAGGCAGAGGGAATGATTAATAAGTAACTGATACCGATGGAATAAGGTAGACACACAGAGTGTGTATTCCATCGGAAAAGGGTTCTTTTCATCGATGCACACCAAAATCATTTGACTGAAGACATTGCTCTCATTTAAAGGCTGCTAATATAACAAGTTGGTCCAGCTGGCACTGTTCACATCTAATTATAACCTTTTTGGTTGTTTATGAAACAATTCCTCCACTCTGCCTGCACATCCTGATCGGACAAGTAAAAAAACAGTTGATTAAATGTCATGTTGCAGCATCCCAAACGAAGCACTCACTGCCACAGAAGCAGTCATGAGTTCTTCACCAATGACCGCTTACAGACACTTGTTCAGGTTTTGGCTGAAAAGCAGGGACAGAGAAAGCATACGCACAGGTGTCTTTCAGTATCAGTTTCTACTTTTGCTTTGAAAGCTTGATCGGCAGAATAATCCGTTCAAGGGCCGCGTTCAAATAAGGAAAACACTTATACAATGACATTATCAGGTCTCTGTCATCTGATACAGGTTAGGACAATGAATCATACAGAACCCTCCATTGACCTTCTTCAATGTGTCTAGATAAAAGGATGAAAATTAGAATCCATCTCCTTGCCAAGTGCCACCAGTTATAAATGTACTTTATAGGGCTCATTATCCAAACTAATGGACTAAGGGCGACATCCTTGAAATGGACTTACCAGCAGTGACAAAGCCAGTATGCAATAATTCAGGAAAGATATGTAAATTACAGTGTTTGCTATATCTTTTTTATTATGGAAATATAAATTTACATTTGTCACATCTTTCCAGTTGGAGGCTGGGACAGTTTCATTGGAAACACACTTAAAACTGCTCCAAGTAAAACGTAGGCAATTATTTTTAATGTAAGCTCCACTCAAAATATACTGATGTAAATTAAAATACCTTAAATCTTATCAAATGAAGCCACATAAGCAAGATCTACCCAGCATAAAAGGAACAGAGATGCAAAATTAAAAAGGAAATGACGCTAACAGTAAGAGAGATTCAATTTTTGTCCCCCTAAAGGCAAAAATCGTGAGATTTTCATTCATGAAGAAAGTAATCAGTAGACCGAATGGCCATCAAACAGCGTTAGCAAAACAGAATTCCTTGTTTTAACCCAGGAGAGAACTGTATTTGTTAACTCTCCCCACACACTTCCATTTTTCTTCTCAACATTTTAAAACATAGATAAAACAGGCGTCAACACTTTTTAGGGGGCATAAGCATATCTGCAATAAATCAGGGCTCACAAATAAGAGAGATAAATATGAGAGGGGGATATTTAGGGCGATAAACCTTTCCCTAGCAGCTCTGTGCCCGCCTCAACAATTACTTCAGGCCATGAGCATCCCAAATAGGAAGGACTCTTCTTTTGGATATGAGATGGATCAGAGTGAGGCCAATGGTTCATCTTAGCTCATCAGGATTGGCCCTCTGGGGTTTAAGCCAGAATGCCTCCCTTTCTGAACCTACCTGGAGATACCAAGGACTGAACCTCAGACTTGTTCCACCACTGAGCTCTAATGGGTTGATTTGCAAGGCTTACTCAGTTCTTTTTAATAGAAGCAGCATTAGCACAATGCAAATTGCCTATTATATCTACCAATTTACTCCTGCCTTTTAACAACGGGGCAGCCCAGAGACACAGGCATTCATATGAGGTTCTTAGAGGCGGTGGAGCACTACATACACGGAGGCATAATTGGGGGAGGCAGCCCCTTTCTGTGACTGGGAAAAGCTCTTTGCATGCATGTGATTGCACACACAGCTTTCAATAATGCAGCTCTCAATGCTATGTCCCTCTTCATAGGTTCCTTGGCAGAGCTTCGACAAGAGGCAAGGGAGTTTAGAAAGAAATGTATTTCTGGGATTGGCAAATACGGACAACTCACATCAGGTGAATCCTGGCATCCTGATCCTATCTTAAGGTCAGCCCTTCAGCCGCCTCCCTCCATGTGCCTCTGCAAACTAAAGAAACAAATAGGATGCATTTCGTGTAAAGGGGCTATGAGGATTTTGCTTAATCTCAGGATTAGTTCCACGGATTTGGGCATTTAATAGCAGAGAACTTGTTGGATAGGCACAGCGGTCGTAACTAAGTATGTTGTGACAACAGTGTCCAGGCCTAATTCCAGATGTCAGCACTAGTGCATGAAGCGCTCAAAGCTCAAGGAGTGCATTGTGGGTTCAGAACTAAGACTGGATGGGGGGAAATGACCTGTGCTTTCACGAGATGTGGTGTGTGGGCAATGCCCTTTTGATGGGATGCCCTGTATATGCAATTTCCTTCTGACAGGGATACTGCTGTCCTCATGTTATATTTATTGATTTATTGCAGTTATTTATTATTAAATCTGTACCCTGTTTTTTCCCCTCCTGCAAGGAACACAAAGGGGACTGGGAAGATTCTGCTTCTCTCCATTTCACCCTTAAAACAAAGATGGTAAAAGAAGGATTTCATCATTACACCAACCCTGTTAGGTAGGTTATACTGAGAGTCAGCGATTGGTCCAAAGTCACATAAAGATCTTCATGGCCAAGTGGAGACTAGAACCGAGTGGGGACTAGGCTAGGGCCTTTTCTGCAGTGGCACCCCAATTCTGGAATGCTCTACCACTGGAGATTCATCGGGTGCCTTGCAACTACCTCAGTCTGTCTACTAGTGGGCTAGACAGAAAATAGTAAGCAAAACCAGTGGCCTCTTGACAGTGTCCATCATGTACTAGAATGGGCATTTAGGGCCCAGAATTACGAGAAACTTATCTGGTGAAGAGTGGGGAATACTGGGCCCAATTCAGTATTGAAGAAGCTCTCAGGGGCAGTATTCCAGTGGCGAGCAGGGCACATAGGGTGGGATCAAAATACAGCCTGTTGTAACTTTAAACTCTATCTGCAGTTGAGGAAGGCCAGTAAAGACCTATCAACCTTTTAGAATGGGTGGGGCCAAAAGCTGGAAAAATTGGAGATGTTTGAAATTTACTAATTTGAGATGTTTTATTAAGCCTGAATACAAGATATTATTACACTACTGTCACTTCTGTTTTCCCTCACAGCAGACCTGGAAAAACACCTCCTGCAAATTTCCTCGGTAGCAAAAGATGCTATAATGGAGGGCAGGGCACCTGTACACAAACACACATACACATGTGTGCCTGCGTATGTGCACACATGTACACTCACACCATCACCACATTTTTAATAAATAAATAATACTCATTTTGAGGAGACATGGCAGATTATAAATCTAATTATACAAACCATGTCATCTGCCAAGGTAACTGACAACTTTTATTAACTATCTAATTTATCTGGAAGAACCTGCATTGTTCATTATATCTTTATCATCAAGACTTAAAATGTTAATATGCAAAATGATATGTTTTGCAAGCAAAGGGGCCCAGCTTTGAAGAGCTACTGAGCCTATACATTCACTCTATAGGACTTACTTCAGAACCCAGAAAAAGTAGAGAAAATCTTCTAAGATGAAGGCAGCATAGTTGGCCAAAAAGCCTGAACTGATCTCCAGTGGAAAGACAGACATTGGGAGATACTACTGATTTTCCTCAGTGTGTTAGCATGTTTTAGGAGAGAGGCACTGGCCCAAAAGGAAAAACTGGTTCCTTCAAGGATTGTTTGAATTCATTTTTCCCCAACCTTTTACTCAAGATACACTCTGGACTACAATTGCTAGCACCCCTCACCACTGACTGTGTCAATGGGGCTGATGTAAGCTGAAGTCCACAATATCCTCACATAAACTGTTTTATTACAAAGACAGGAAAGAAATACAGGCATATGCATAATTCATGGGAACAGAATTGTTGGAGTTTGTTTTCATTCATTTTGTCTCAAATATAGACAATGGCTTCCTGCCCCACTACAGGTGGGAATTAGCAGGGCAAAGCTCAGCTGAGTGTGTAAGAACTTTTGTTCTTGTTGTGAAAGGTCACTTTGCTATATTTAGCAGCACATAAAAAAGCCACACACTTTTCTTTTTGCATTTCATTGACATTTGACACCACCCCCTTTTTCCTCCTCTGTGTGTGTGTGCGTGTGTGTACGCGCGCACGCAGAGAGAGAAAGAAAGCAACGAATGAAATTCTAGTCCACACATTTTGATGAACCAATGTATTTCTATATATTCAAGATACTGCAAGTCTTCTTGTTGTTTTCTTCAATAGACTTAAATGACTATCACCTCTGGAACGAATTCTATATGTACCCCTTAAATATTAGGGCAAATCTTAAGAAAAAACTGTCCAGCCTGGTTTCCTGAATTTTACTGTGCATAAATTTGGTGGTGTAACAAAGCTGCATTTGGGTCTCGGTTCCCATCTTGCGCTTCAGTCACCATGAAGTTGCCACTGCTCTGTGGCAACATCAGTAGATGGCTCAGTGAATTTGTGAAACCAGCACAAGCCATTTCCTTTTCCAAGAAAAGCCCTGCTGCATCAGGCCAAGGGTCCATCTGGTCCAGCACTCTGCACACGGGGGGCAAACTGGCTGCCACGGGGTCCTTCCGGTGGGATGAGTGCAAGGCCTCTTCCTGCCCAAGCTCCTCAGCTACTGGCTACTACAGGCATGGAACCTCCAGGAAGGGTGGTGAGCAGATAGCCAGCAGGGCCAGTGGCCACCGATGGCGCCCTTCCTCATCCATCTGTCCAATCCCTTTTTGAAGCCATCCAGTCTGGCGGCCAACACCACTTCCCATGGCAGCAAATTCCATGATTTAGCTATATGCTGTGTGAAGGATTATTTCCTCTCCCACAATTATATATGGTAAACTAGTAAATTTGGAATTTTAATTGTGATCTTTTAAGATTTATCCAATCCGTTATGTTAATGCATGCTGTTACTTTTGGTGCCCCTGCTGTGATGGGGATGTTGTATTGTTTATTGGTATCAATGTTTAATTGTTTTATTTATGTAGTTTTTAATGCTTTGTTATGATTTTATTAGGTAAACCACCCAGAGAGCCTTGAGGCTATTGCGATGGTACACAAAAGTGTTAGATAAAATTTTAAAAATGGGACTAACTCGCTGCATTGGCCTGGGTGCTGTGATACGGATGGTCTTCAAAGAAATCCTCATAGTCTCAGTGTGGACGACTAAGCATACAAAGCTGCCTTCGAACGTGTCAGTCCAACAGACCTAGAACACTCTTCCTTGCAGTAGCTGTCCAAGGTCTCAGGCAGGAGTGTCCCTTAGTCCTGCAGACTTGATACCCTTTAACAGGACATCAGACGGGACAAAGCATATACAGCCCCTGAATGATCGTTTCTGGACTTAACTGGCAGATTATCAATCAAAGAAAGTGCAGACAAGTTGCTCTTGCTTAAAAGGAAGTAGAAGCAGCCACCCTGGCCTGGTGAATATCACAAGGAGTATCTAGCAATAGGCTTGAGTCAACATATGACAGTGGAAACATAGGCCTAGTATTTGCTATGCCCATTCACAGGGCTGTGAATTTTGTAGCAGGAAAGTGCCAGCTGATTTCGTTCCAGCTTTAAAAAGTTGCCAGGAGGCCTGACACTGTTGTAAAAAGAATTCATCCTAGAGGTAAGAGGGCAACATAGTTTATGACAACAATCTACCTAAAAACTCATTAAAGCCTTTTCTCGTAGAGTGACATGCATTATCAGCAAAGATTAATCTGATGAGTCTTTAGGTGAGCTTCATTTTTAAAAATGCAATAACAGAGGGCTTTGTTGTCATCTGATGAAAATCAATTAGAGTAGGTAAGGCCACAAGGAAAACTAACATCACTCATCACCAGACCCCCGGCAACTGAAATGATTTGTCTTCCAAGCTTGGATGATCAGGAGGCTGCCGTTATATTGCAGGGAAATTAATTTAGTTTCTATATTCTAAACCCACTTTCCTTGTTCTGGAGGACCTATACACAAATTACTTTTAATCAAGGTTGATGTGTTATTAATACTAAAGAAGATCTTTGAAGAACCATTTTTTAAAAATGGGCTCAGCATTTTTCATCTTGCCGTTTCGTGTATATAAGAGGAGAAAAGGTTACTTCTTGCAATCCTTACCTTCTGGTTTCTTTGTCCACTACAAGGCACTGTACGGAGTGGCGAAGACAATAGATGCCGCCAAATACGGCACACATCCTAGAAGAACATAACAAGTCAATAAAAGGCAAGTTAGATTTAGGGTCTTTCAAGCATACCTTTTTTAAAACACCAAATGATTCATTTAAACAATTCTTAAAGTGGGATAAGTACAAGGAGCCCAGTTAAGGCTGTCATCCGACACAAACATTCCTAAAAGAAACGAGCAGTTCACAGCTCGTGCATGTTTCTCCTACTTGCTCCTCCCGTCTTGAGAGCAGGGGAGGAAATTAGGAAGGAATAATTCTGTGTTACGGCTGAACTCTGGCTTATGTTCAAGGGTCCCCAAAGAAGCCAGATTCGACCACCAGTGAACACTGCTTTAAAGCTGCGTTATGATTCTTTAGTTGCAATCGTCAGACGATCAACCAGGCTCAGAGGAAGGCAGGGGCCAATGTTTTGGTTTGGTTTTTTTGAAGTCTACTCCACCCTGCAGGTACTTGACTCACCAATACAACTAACAATTTAACAAAAATAAAGCGATACTTAAAACTGTAGAGCAGCTACAGTTAATTATCAGGAAGCAATGACTTGCACCAATATTGAAAGAGTGCAGAAACAGCATGGGACCAAATGATTTTGAGTCCTCTGTGAGAAAAAAGTAAGATTATAAATCTAAGAAATCTATTTATTAATATAAATAAAAATTGTAGAACACCTTGGCTTTCCCGGCAGTAATTATAGATAACTAGCTAGCTAGGTACAAAAGAGAAGATGCAGTTTGGAACCAATTCTGATTTTTTTTCCAAGTACCTGAAATTGACATAAAAACAAGTGAGCCATCATCCCAATCATCTTATTATTTTCTTATCCATTTACAATAGCCTATTCAAGATGATTTGGCTAGACCCAAAGTACAAGGTAACTCTGATACTATTAACCCTAAACGACAGACGTTTAAACTGATTCTCCTCTAATTAACTGGCTACCATCTCTGCCAATAATTCAGGTTTTGCTGAAAGATCGCACCTGCGCCACACTCAGGTTCAACTTTGCCCTGGTGACATCAAATCGCATTACAGTTAAATTAATAGTTGTGAAAATTTTTGGCCTAGTTGTGAATCCTTCCATCCCCCAATCTCTAGCCTTTAAATGCCATTGCAATTCCTACAAAGGCAAGGAATAAGCAGCTGCAGTTTCTAATACAGCTGCAAAACAATGGAGCCCATTAATGGCTGAACTTCTGACAGCACATTCACAATGATTTATGAGTTTGTATATAATTTGATTATTCTATTAATTCTACTGATTACTGCTGGAGCTAATACAGTGAAGGTCACTCCCTAAAATAAATCTTCATTACATTTCACAGAAAGTAACTGCCTCCAACTGGTTGTTTTCTTTAATTAAAACACTAATGTTACAAGGAAGGAAAGGAGGTGCAGGGTTGCTGCACTGCTCTGATGTGATACTCTTGGATCCAAACATTTGGAAGGGGGAAAATACAGATGTCTCTTTATTGGACATGTTGATTCTTAACACAGAAAGACACCCAGGTTTTTTGTTTGAATACTACATATAAAGCCCAGGGGAGCATTAAACAGGCTTACATTCTGTCAGAATCTTATAACTCTGTAAAGCAGCTTTCCCTAACTTGGTGCCAAAGTACTGGATCACAATTTTCATCAACCAGCCAGTATGAGACATGTCAGCTGGATGTGAGGGGACTTGAAGTATTATTTTTGATTATTTATTTCATTTCTATACTGCCCCATGGCTGAAGTTCCCTGGACAGCACAACACATCTGGAGAATGTATGGCTCTGAGAGAGTGGTTTGTGTTCGTGGCAGAGAGGGGGCTGGAACCAGGGATTTCTTTTCCCTTGGTTTCTTAAAGCTGAAAAAAGAACAAACTAAAGCAGGAAATACGCCAGCCAACACATACCGGGGTGGGGGAGAGGGAGGGATTGCATCTTAATCCTATCCGTGTTGCTACCTGCGGAAGGTGGCTGGAAAGGGAGTTTCAGAATCTTGGTGCCACCACACAGGAGGACCTGTCACCTCTCACCTGCAAAGTGGAGGGGCACCTAGAGTAGGGCCTCAACAAAAGATCTTGCATGGATGTGCTCAAAAGAGAGCATTTAAAGGCAGGCATTGCTGGGCACCCGCCCAGGCCTGTCCCCTTTCCCCTGTAAGGGTCCCACAGCTGAGCCTGGCCTATCCGTCCCCTTTGAGCATGTGAGCAGTGACAAGACCGAAGAGATGGCGTTGCACCTCCAGGTGGTCATGCCCACAGGAAGAATGCAGCACCTGTGACAGTGGTGAGGAGGTGGACTCCATAAGGGCTTCTCACTGAAGTCCCACACACCTGAGACCTGATGCCGGCAATGGAGCATTTGACTTTTTCCCATTCTGCCACAAAGACTGAAGGAGAAGTGTGGCGAGCTAACACTAGCACAGTTACTGGAAGAGGCATTTTCTTTTCTTTAGCTCACCTTTCCTCCAGGATGTGCAGGGTATACTTAGTCTCCCCTCCCCTTTACCTTAAGCTCAAACAACCCTGTGAGGCAGCTGAGCCCCTCAACACAGCATAGTGGTTAAAATGTTGGGCCAGGACCAGCCTTTAAAACTTGAGTGGCCTTAATCTAGACACAGGATTCTTTCTGCCTAGCCTACCATACAGCAATGTTTTGATGCTAAAAGTGGAGAGGGGGGACCATGAATGTTACTGGAATTAAGGGATATAGGTGTAATAAACAAAAACCGGCTGAAGGCTCCTGACTTGGCCAATACCATCAAAGAAGTCTCATGGCTGGAGGGATTTGAACCTGAGCTCAGGGGCTCTGTGCCCAACCCTACCGAGCTACTCGTATCTCTCTTCGGACTTCTGAGAGGAACATCCGTGGGAATCCTGCACAGCGTCAGCCAGCTTCCATCGACTTCCATTGGCTGTGAGCAGCGTGAAACTCCTTTCAGAAGCGTGAGCAGCACGGCCATAAGTGGACTCAACTTCTGTGCCAGAATGAGGGCACGCCTCCAATACATTTGAAACAACTCTCCAGCGCACCCACGTACACGAGGGCTCCAGCAACTGCTGTGAACTGCTTTCAAAACACTGCCCTCTCCAAAGGTTTCTCTGCTGAACAGGGAATCGCGGAGTGCCGCCCTCACAAAGGGTGATTGTATGCTTAGGAGGCATGCTTCAACACAAAGGTTATTTTCCAATTAGAAGTCTTGCCCTGTCAAAACTTGAGAAATAATATGGGCAAGGACACAAAAGCATTCCATAGCTTTATTAACGACAGTGCTCACTGATCTGTGAATAACCTGAGAAATATATATATATGAAGATTATTGAGTTACTTTACCAATCTATCCATCTATCACTGGAGAACAGGCCTCAGAAGTGATGGATTAGCTCACCTCAACAATGTTTATCCTGAACTAAGGTTCTCTTGTCAAGAGAAGGGGGGGGAGGCATGAACCAACCGCAAGTACAACCATACTATTCACACGTCTTAACTTGCATTCCAATATAAATAATAACAATAAAAGGAAATGCTTTCCGATACAAATAATAACAATAAAAGGAAATACTTAAAACTGTTTCCTGGAAGGATCTGCTGGTAAAAAATGAAAGGGATGCAAAGTTCAGAAAGCTCACACAAACGAGATTGTGCTATTTCTCCCAGGTAGCTCAGTACTGTCTGCTCTGACTGAGGCAGAGCGGTTTTCACCCATCACTGTGCACTTGATCCTAACGACGCCAGTACCAAAAGTAATATGCCTCCAAATAACGCAAGGGAGAGGAAGCTATTTCACTGTGGTTTTTCTATAGGCATCTAGCTGGCCTTTGTCGGAACAGAACACTAGGCCAGATATGGCCTCATCCACTAAGACTCCTCTGGCATGCCCATGGTCACCTGTGTGTCTACTATGGGCATGGCAGCTTCTCATCCGGGAAGCAGATGCAGGTGGCCGTCCATCAATCTAGTATGGACATTTATTGGGATCTTATTTCACCAGTCATTTGAACAGAGCAGCATTATCACATCCAACATATCCAGCTGTCAGATATGAGTGTGCTGGAACAGAACCCTGGTCACAATTAAGTTAGGCTGGGGAATATAAGAGATGCAAATGTCGTATGGCCCTGCACCTCTGGAACTAGCTTCCTTGGGGATTCTTCTATTCATTCTTTCTAGGTCTTCAGAAAAGCTTTGGAGACTCAAGTGTTTTCTCTGGCCTTCCTTTATTGTCTAGGCTGCTGATTTCATTGGTAAACTTTGGGATTTTAATGTATCTTTTAAAATCTCATGTATGGATTTTATTTAATACTTTTTGATTTTGATTTCAGCTGCTTTGTACAGATTTTATCTTGGGAGGCCACCTTGACACTTAAATAAGTATTGCCTATATTATTTTTATAGCAGAGAGTGTTGCAAATACTTTTCTCCAAAGTCCCCTCATTTAGAAGCATATTTTCATCTTTATGACTAAGCTTACTGTTTATTTATTTTAAAAAATTCTATACCAGCTTATATTCCAGAGAAACCTCAAGACAGTTTACAAAAGGTTAAAATATCAAAACAATTAAAAACCCAAATTGCCAGTACTTGAATTAAAAATGCAGTGATTAAAATGTGCTGCCTAAAAATTAAAAAACTGGGTAAATAGAAAGGCTCTGGCTTGGTGCCAGAATGAATAAAGCATTGGCACCAGGCGAACCTCTCTGGAGAGCAAGCTCCCCCATTGGGATGCTATGGCAGAAAAGGCCACCTTACTTCTTTTCAAGGAGGGCTCTTGGAAAAAGACCTCCGCAGTGATCTTAAGGTCCGGGCAGACTCATATGGAAGGAGACATTCCTTTAGTTAAGTTTATCTTTAAAAGACACTTATCTTAGGAAACCCTCCTCTGGCTCCAAAAGTTCCCATCCTCTGTTAGAAGAATCTTTGGACCTAATACACTGATCGTGAATAGTATCCACTCACGAAAAGTAAACCGTTTTTGAAAACAACCCGCAGCCATGGTTAAATAGCACAATACAAAAACACACACCATATTTTTGTTGCTACATAAACCATATCCTGCTAAGTTCTGAACACAAGCATGTGAAACCCTTTTGTATGGCAGTTATTGTAACAGAAAAAAGAACACCATCTTCTCATAATTGTTTAGGAATAAATACTGATCTTATGAACTCTAGGGACCACCATAGTTCCAAGAACCATTGCAGAGTTTACGCAGAATTCATTCAGAATGCAAGGATATGACTTACAAATGTCTTTGAATCACTCACATAAATATGCATGCATGCCATTTATAACAGTAGCCTTGATGAGAACACATAGGGTAACTGGTTGCAAGGAACGCTTAAGAGGGTTACATTAAAACAGAATATGAAGAGGTGGTTAGAAATCACAGGACAAGTGACACCTTATTCTGATAACCTGGTGATAAAATTTGTAGGGTATGATGTATAGGCAGGGATGTTACCACTTGGTGGACTGATGGAACAATATTCCTAGAAGTCTTTAAAAATATTGTTTAGAATTAGCAATACACACTGGAGCAAAGAGGCCTTGTATCCAGAGAATAAAATTGTTAAAAGTTGAAATCTTTAAAGTTGAAAGTGGTTATCACTCAAGGCTTTAAGATGTGCATGAAGAGTGTTTTAAACACATGTTTTCATATTTAGTGTAAAGCATTTAACCTTAGATTAAATCTGGGTCCACCTTCTTACCAGACCCTCTGCCAAAAAGCAGCATCCGTGGGCACCCAAGGGCCCACAATTCTTGCCATGGACCTGTGCTCCAATGAACACCAGGCAATCATCGTCTAACTGTCCACAATCTGCATTTGTGACATGACATGCTTCGGCGCACTCTGGTCAATTTTAATGGCTGCCACATGGCATTTGTCCAAAGTAACTCTGCTACACTTTCATGGGCAGGCGGGAGATCTCTAGGTCTTTGGACTACAACTTCCAACATTTTTTTTTATTATTATTGGCAAAACCAGCAAGGTGCTTCTTGGACATGAGGTACCAAACCTCTGGAGGTCCACTTCCTGCCCACCCGACATTTCTGTCAAAGGGGTTGTAGTCTTTCTCCAGGGGACCCCACCCAACAGTCCTTTAGGTGTGGCAGCAACAAATAAGATCCAGAGCTGGTGGAATTAGAATCCCACCAGAGAACCCCTCGACCTGCAGCCAGAGTTGCTAACTGGCCTTCCTCCAAGGTGCCAGGTGCGCGTGCTCTGGCAAGACTCCCAGGTGTAGGCAAGAAGCTGACCATTTGTTGGGCTGACACAAGAAAGCTTTGCTAGGATGGAAATCTGATGGATTTGCTGCCCTCCTAGATTCCATTTTTCCAGCACTTCACAGGCCCACTATGGTGTGAGTTGACCCAGCTCAGAGATTTCAGTCACTAAGATGGCCCTTGCTTTGCACATTTAAAAGAAATGCTAAGCAAACTGGTATAAAATCAACAGATCTGCATCTTAAATGTATGTGGTCCTCATGCAATGCAGCTTTTTGAGAACCTATGAATGAATGTCTTCTACAATATCCTATCTATGAAAGCCCCGCTCAGCTCTTGTAAATTCAAGGCAGTGCTTGAATTTACAACAGTTCCCAAACTTTTTCAGGCATGGAACCTTTCTGAAGACATGTTTTTTCCATGGAAACCTAAACTCTGATTTTTACTAAGTATTGTGAACCCACAATGTTCTTCCTTCTTTCACCTGCTCCTAGTGCCTGTGTGCTTTGCATAATGCAGTCGGTTTGGAAATAAAGAGAACACATTTTAAATATAATGAATGAATAAAGCGAGTATATGGTCATATCCCAAATAAAATTATTTTGATTATCCCAACACTACGCAATAGAGTCCTAGGAACGAAATGACGTGATGTGTTTGCTTGTTTGCTGCTTGGATGCCAACTGAAAATTGATTAATTGGCATTGTATGGTCTCATTTTAAAATCCATTTTATATTTGATTTTTGAGATTTTCCATGGAACCCCTATGAGGCTTTGTGGAACCACAGGGTTCTGCAGAACACAGTGTGGGAACTGCTGACTACACAGTCAATCCATCTCAGATCTGCTCCTCTTCCGCTGCCTTTGACTTCCCATAGTTACTGTCTTCTCCAGTGAGATGCCTCCTTGTGATGTACCCACAGTGTGACAGTCTCAGTTTTGTCATTTTCAATTCTAGCGGAAATTCTGGTTTAGAACCCACTTGTTGTTTGTCTTTCTGTCAGTCCAGGGTATTCCCAAAGTCCTTGTGCAGCACCATGGTTTTAATGCATCGTGTTGGCTATTACAAATTATTACACAAGGGGTTTCTGAAATATTGCCTTAAAAGGTGTGTTTATTTTCTACTCACAGAAACATAAAAACGAAAATGGCTGTCCATCTAAAGGGATTAAATTGGATTACTCACTATTCTCAAATGCCAGGCTTAAAACAAATAATAAGACTCTCCTTACCGACAAAAGCACTGTGGGATCTCTCCTTGGCCATACAGAGGAAATAGGAATGGAGTGTTGCCATAACGGCCAAGGCACTGGAGGAACTTCTGGGTTGCCTTCAGCCCATCTATGGTGCAGCAATCGGCCTCCGAGACCATTGCAATGGAATGCAGGATGAAATGCTGCAAGTTGGGAGTTAGCTTCTGGGTTTTTAAGTAGTCTGAAAATTTACACTCTTTCAGAGCTGTTTTAGGGAACAAAAGAAAAGCCATGGGTAAGCCACTCCGGATAGCTATTCACAAAATCAAATCAAAACAAAACAAGAACAAAAAACGCATGCACCGAGAAACCAGCCAATTAGTCAGCACACAAACCCAAAATGTGAGATCTATGATGTGCTCTAGAAATTTAACAATTATATTAAAATGTCAGGAACAGAAAAGCATGCACACACAATAGGATTCTGCAAAAGATACAAACCTTGATATTCATCAGGGTGCTGGTCAAAGTCTAGGCAAAATGTCAGAAATCTCATCAGCATTCTCTTTTCCACCATAGTTAATTGTTTGCTGTTGAAGACATCAGCTCTGGAGCATGGTACCTGCAATACAATTTGAAGTCTGTTCTCACTGCTGGGAGTCACTGTTCAAAATATCTGGAGGTTACCAGAGAAAGATGGCTTACATTCAGTGCAACAAGCCCTGCTGTGTGAATTAAGAAAATTTTATTTCAGGGTATTTTACGGCTAATTAGACTTTATGAATAATCGACTTGTTTCCTCATGCTTCAAGGCTTTTGCTACCAATCCCTTTCAGAACTCAGTCACTTCCCTGGCCCTGTGAACTGCTAAGTTAAAATCAATGCAAAACTTCCTAATTTCTCTGCCCAAAGGCATCATTAGAGCACTCTGGTGTGTACCCTCTTGGCCTTTCTCACCTCCTATATAATAAATAAGCTATTCATATGCTGCTCTTGACCCTATTTTGGTCTTGAAACTTTGCCATCCTTATTTCAACATTGTCCTCTAACGATATCGCATCCTGTCCTTACAAAAACTAGTCTTCTGTTGGTTCCCCGCAATCCTGCATCAGTGCACGTAAAACCCTGGCTGACTACAGCTTTAAACCAAAAGGGAATCTTCCTTTCTTCCTTTTGCCAATAACTCTTGATGCACTTGACAAACCAAGAATATTTCTCTCCCAAACTGAGAATAAACTGGGAGTAACTGCACTATTTGGAAGCCTACTACTAATACCAGATTATACCAGTGGTCATTTGGACAGAAAGATGTATTATATACCAGTAGCTACAGGAGATTTGGAACACCACCAATCTAACGAATCTCTTTAACATGGCAAGATTGTCCAGTCTTAAGCTTAGACCTGTGGCCAGCATCAGGGGCTGCAATGCATCAGGCATGTGTCAAGGCCCATAACAAGGGGCTGAACACGAACTCCTAGAGTCCTGCGCCCTTCATTATTGGAGGAGATGGAGCAGACCATGCTTCCATATTGCGCTCTCTGTCTGGGCAGTTATGAGAATTGAGCCTGGAGACAGAAAGCAAACAAGTAGGAAGCAATGACCATTTAGAAGATGAGAAAGGTCTACTCAGAAGCGGGGGGGGGGGGCTGGTAGCATCTTACCCGATTGTGCCTCAAAATCTGGAGACCCAAGAACCAGATTACAGTTCGGCCATTGTTTAAACGCATAATGCTGCAGAATGGGAGGTGGTTGAAGCCCCATTGGTGAGGGTGTTCAAGGATAGCCTGGACATGCACATGGTAGGCGTGTCACGAGTGGAGCTGGCTGGAGCTGGGGTCAGACTAGCTGACCCAGGAGACCCCTTCCGACAAACTGTTTCTATGTTTCTCCATGCATTATTTATAACAGGGTAGAAACAGTATTACAATTTATATGATTTCTAACACTATTTCTCGTCTCAAGAGCAACAGGTAACAGAGAGGATAATGGCAAAAAAGGAGGGAAAAATACAGCTGCACAGAACGTTTGGGTTTTTTTTAATGAGCTACATGCTCAGCTTTTGTAATCCTGTCCATTAGAGTACCTGTTCCACTCTCCCTTCCCGAAATGCAAGGATCCGGGTGACGTTTTTGAACTCGGCATATCGACTCACATTTGACTTAATTAGGAGGTCAATCAACAATCCTCGAGAGTACAGTAGCTGCACAAAAGAATAAATATAGATAGATAGATGAAGCAAATCGGGTTTTTAATTAACACCTTTTTTTCTTCCTTAATAACACTGTCTACAAAGAGCACACTATCAAGAAAGCAAAGTGCTTTGCAATTTAAAAGTGTTATTAAAATGATAACGGCAGTTGTACTACTTCCAGATCTCACTCCTTCCAATAGCAAGATGAGGTGGTGAGTGCTGCCAAGACTGTATTCATTATTACTACATTACATTTACATTACTCCTCCTTCCTTTAGTGAGGAATCCAAGTCATTTACACAGTTCCACATCATCCTCACGACAACCCCACGAGGCATGTTAAGCTGCAAGTGAGTGACTGACTGGGTCACCCAGTAAACTTCATGGGCAGATGGGAACCAGCCCACTCTGGGTCTCAGGATGCGGCCAAACTGGGGCCAGTGAGAAGCAAGAAGGGAGTATTGGAATGCTTGAAGGGACCCTGCGGTCTGCAGAAGTAGGAGAAACCTTTCAAAACTTGAGGGAGAATGCCCTGCAGACTCAGTAGGCTCAAGGAAAGAAAAATAGAACTAACTAAGATTTGGAGAGGCTAGCCAGAACCCTGAATGCAAGCATTCCATATTTTGCGGCCCGCTGCACTTATCCACATACCAATGCGAAAGTGCTAGCTTTCCTGTGGGACTACAGCCGGGATCACACAGAACTGAGCAGGAAGCTGATGCAGAGCTTCAGACAAATCCCAGCCTGAAGAAAAGCTTAATACCAACCACAGAAGAGCACACATCCCTCTTTTTGTCTTCAACCCCCCACCCCCAATCCCACCCCACCCCCTAAAACATTTCCTCTGACTAAATCTGAAAATTTAGAAATTTTTTTTAATGGGACCACCCCCCCCCCAAAAAAAAAACCCCAAACAAACGAAAAGCTGCACAGGGACTAGATATTTTCTTCCAACTTCCCCAAAGGAACACATTTCAGAAGTTTCAGACCTTGATATGCTTTCATGGCTTACAGCCCGTCAAATCAGCTGTGTTTGATAATCCATGAGACAGAGCTCACAAAAGTTTATGCTATAATAACTCTGTCAGCCTTTAAGAGGTGCCACAAGATCACAAACTGAATGAGACAAGAATGCGATGTAGCTGCAAAAAAGGCAAATGCTATACTGGACTAAAGTAAGAGAAGTACAGCTCCCAAACCACATGAGGTCCTAGTTCCCTTCTATTCAGCACAATTCTATTCAGAACTGTGTCCAATTCTGTGCACCACCATTTAAGAAAGATGCAAACAAAGTAGAAAGGATTGAGAAATGGTCAAAAAAGATGATTAGGAAACAGGAAACAAAGCCCTGTGAGGAGAGAATGAAAGAACTAGGGATATTTATCCTTGAGAAGACTGAGGAGGAATATGATAGCACTAAGTATATGAAAGGTTGTCACACAGAGGGCCAGGATCTCTTCTCATTCATCCCAGAGTGCAGCACATGGGATAACGGGCTACAGTTACAGGAAGCCAGATTCTGGCTCAACATCAGAAAAAATGTTCTCAAGACCTAAGACGGCATTTGCATCCTGAAAGCAAAAGATCAGAACAACCTTTTAGCTGATATTTTACCCTTTTTAAAAAGTGTCTTTAAGTAACTCCAAATCATTTGTAAACTATGTTCCTTATAGAACAGAGTATCATCGTAATGATCTTACTTAGTCTTTGAAGATTCCAAAAGAAGCGTTTGAATAAGCCTTTAAATAGATATATATGTATGTACAGAAAAACCATACCCAAAGAGTTCCCTACCTTAGAAATTAAATCAATATTAAAGCGCCTCCCATCTTTAACTAATTGGGGGTATGTAATTTTCCCTGATTCAACTGCAGCTTCTGTTACTGATGCAGATTCGTTATTTTCTACTTCCAGCACTGACTGAACGGACGTTGCACAGTCTCTGTGTATTTCCCCCACAGATGTCACTTCTACACCATCCTTTCCAGCTGAATGCTCGGGATCACTTCCTGCAACGATCTTGGGGCATGTTTCTTCACCTTTGGACTCCGAAGGCTGATCCTCCAATGGACAACACTCAATCCCAACCTCTGGTGGGGTGAAGGGTTCCACTGCAACCTCACCGGAAGCAGAGGTAACTGAGGCATTGAATTTGGACAGCGCACCTGCCTCTTCCACATCTTCAGCTGAATCCTGACTGATATGAGAGAGAGGGAGGGAGAGAGAGGGAGAGAATGAGAATGAATCTACTTTGCTACCTCGCCACTAGTTGGGTACAAAGAGCTTCTTCATCCGTGTATTGGGACCCTATAGGATCTATGCATGAAGACTTATTTTTAAATCATTATTTCAACTGGGAAGAACTACACAAGCCCTACCCCAAGCGACAGAACATTCATGAAGTAGCAAAGGGTCATTAACAGAATATTAACAAACTACAGTTTCAGCAACAGGAAGGAAAGAGACAATATGGATGGACGAATATCACCCTGTATGAACAGGAGACACTGCTGATTGTGCGTGGAGGCATACTTTGGAACATCATTAAAAGTTTTGGGGTTTTCTTTTTTTTAATGATCAAGAAACAAACCCAAAAAAGCATCTTCAGTTGTGCTGGTCCAATTCATGGCCTTTATATAAAACGTAACAAAGGCAGGCTTTAAAATCGTGCTGCGGTAAAACTATTAATCCTTTGACTACCTATCACAAGAAAGGTATGTGGGTCAAAAGAGCAAGGTCAGCACAAGCAACAAGTCTTAAGTGGCCTCCTTTCTTTTTTCTTAAGGGCAAAATCTTTAACATTCTCCTTCTAAGGTTGCACTCCACATTTAAGCTCATCTCCCTTTTTAATCTTCAACTTCAATGAAATCTACCTCTGCAACTAGTACTTTGAACTCGGGTATTTAAGTTTATGCTACCAACAGAGATGAATCAAATGAGTGTCATCATTAGAGGGGGAGGAAAGGAGGAAGACTTCAGCAACAACTCTGCAATGTCCTTTTATCTCTTAACCACTTGGCCATTAATCTACCAAGTAAATGTTTTAAGTTTAGTCACAACTAATGAACTGCGATTTAAACGGTGATCTTAGACACCAGTAAAGTTTCGGTAGCTATCAAGAAAAGGCAGTATTTCTGCAGCTGCCAGAAGTAAAACCTATTTAATTTTGTTTAAGGTCTTCTTATGTCCATCTCTGATCTAATCAGTAGCCAGTGAGAGGCCTGAATGAGCTGGGCCAAAACAAAACTCATCGCATTCCCAGTGCCAAGTTAGCTCCAGATATTTCACTTCAACACATTCTTTTGGAGAGATTGGCACTAGGAATGTCAATTCACTAAGTCAAGTTGCAGGCAACGAGAAACAGGATGAACAGATCTTGCTATCTCAGTCATGCTTTGTTTTGTTTTTCTAAACAGGGCTGCAGAGGCAAGAATGTTGCACGAACTGGATTGAGACAGCAGTGCAGAGGAAGGGAGTGGATCCCGGGGACAGGAATGCCCTAGCTGCAGGCTCACTCAGACTTGCCATGATCTCAGAGCTTGCTTTCAGTCATCTTTGCCCTATCTGCATTGAAGTCAATGAGACAAGCTTGCTCCATTGACTAACAGAGGCAAGGAAAAATCCTCCCCTGACAAATGTTTGGGGGTCAGGGGAAGTCCACCTACCACAAAGATGGTCCTTGGTAGAGGGTGGGCTTCCCCCACTACCCATTTTCTGCAGGGAACCCTTTTCTCCAAGTAGAATCCCAGTAGAGTGTTGGCACATCACTTAATTCATCACTGAAATTATTTCATTTATGCAAAATTCTATTTCATTTACAGAATGAACACTTCTCTCAAAGATATAAATGTGTAATTTATAAATGCAGCTTCTCCTCCCTTTAGACTGATCTTCAATGTTTAGATCCTTTATGTTTCCAACTACAGTTCTCAGAATACCTGACTGTTGGCTATGCTGGCTGGGGTTTATGGGAATTATAGTCCAAAGTATCTGGAGGGCAAACTGAAGAAGACTGTCTACTCTATCTCTAAACTATAAACCACATACGCATTGGAAGTGCTGAAATTTTACCAAGCCACAGAGCGAAGCTTCCTGAAACGTAACTTGCACTGAATTCAGTGGATCTGTTTCCAAGTACCCAGTGTCTAGGATCACTCTCTAAAAGGTCATAGCAATATAAGAAATTAATTTAACTTTCTCATGCATATTATTTAACACCAGCTTCAGTGGGTTAAAAAAAGTTCAGTGAAACCTTCTGAATTTAGAGTGTTGATATGAGAGATTCCCAGACACTTTATAACCGCCAGTATATTTCTTGTATGGAATATAATTTCCAAACCAAACAACTGTGGCTATAAAAAACATGGGGAAGAAAAAAGAAATCGAGTTTAAATCTTTGTGTAAACAGGGGTATTTCCCCCCCTTCTGGTAATACTAATTCACAAAAAGAATACATCTGCAGCACAAATTGTGGTGTAAATTCTGAACATTATCGAGCATCATTCATTAATTAATGGTACTAACAAAAGAATCTCTCAAAGCCAATGTGTCTTATTAATGCCTCCTAACAGCCACCTTTCCCGATAGGTCAAAAGAAAAATTGCCAACCAGCTGGTTAATTTATGCAGCACAGGTGTTCACGATTTATTTTTCAGCCATTTGCCTTTTTTTAATACCGCTTGTTGCAGAGATGGTATTCTTCCTCTTTGATGGATGCACTTTGTTCTGTGGCCATTCATTTCGGCTTGGAGCACTATATTAGCACTGCTATCCAGCTGCTTTTATTCTTGCAAAATAAATGTTTAATAGCAATTTCATAGGAGTTCAAGGAAGTTAGGCAACAATGGCAAAAACAAACCGAAGCATGTAAGCCATCAGAGTCGCTGTGATCAGCTCCATCTCAAACATGAAGTTGCTAAAAAGAAGTTTTTAAAAAAAAGGATCACAAGGATGTCTTCAAGTCAAATAATTCTGATTCAAGATAAATAGCCGTTAAACAGCCAGGTTGTGATTTCAAGGCTATCGCACTGCAGAAAGGGGCAGGAAAAAAACATCAAAATGATCAGGTGGTTGGAGCAACTCCACTATTAGAAAAGGAAATTCAAAGATCCTGCTTGAAGCCCAGCTGACACAGTTACAGCGATGAGCCCCAATCCTCCTGGGCCAGGCCCAAGGCAGAAAGCATCCCTATCCGTGTGCATAATGTTACCAAAAATATGCCTCAAGCGCTTCCGCTTTCCTTCGGCTCAAAATGCTTCCCTTCACCCAGCACACACACACACACACACACACACACACGCTGCACTTGAGCAGGAGTCCCCAGCCACTGGGGGCACATGTGGGGTGCTCTCACTGGTCCTGGCTGCTAGGGGGACTTACCCATTCACAAAGTGGGGGTCATGACAGGTAACAAAAGGAGCGAACTGTTGAGACTACAAGCAAGGAGCTTGGACTAGAAGTGAAGTACAAGACAGTTTCAAAACACAAAAGTACTCTTCCAAGCCAAAATACAGATGGTGCTGGAGGGTGGCACTTAATCTGGTAGTGCCCCAACTTTCCAATTAAAAATTAAGAGTTTTTATTATAAAAATTCGTAAGACATAAAATGAAAATCAAGAGAAGGCAGTATCAAAAGAACGCCCCCCACAGGAGACCCCAAAACTAGTTGCTAGAGATTGCCTGCTTACCTGGCATAGCAGAAATCTTCCACATGCTGAATGGTTTGGTCCAACTGGTTGATAGGAATTACTTCTTCATTTTCAAGGATCAACTGTTTCCAGGCTGTGCTTTCCTCACACAGATCAGCTTTTTCCTGGCAAGATTATGAAAAAGGCTATAACATATACACTAAGAAGGAATGATCAGCCCTCGCATATTTTTAATTTGTTTGAAAACTGAGCTGAAAAAGCAAAAGCGCAACTGCATCAGGTGTGAGAGGAGATGCATGCTTATCGTTACACCAGCGCAGCCCAGAGGGTGCAGACGGCACTTGGGTCTCCAAAGAGATTCGGCCTGCTCGTGGGCACTCGTTCTAGCTCTCTTCCGTAACCTGCTGCTCTCTAGGCTGTGCCTCAAAAGCTTTCCTGGCCACAGGGCATGCTACCTGGGGCTGACTGAAGTCCAAAATATCTGGAGGACAGATGGTCTCTTCACCGGGTAAGCCCCTTAGCGAATGAGGGCCCCTTGTCATGAGCAGCAAAGCAAGCCGTCATTTTAAGCTCAGCTACTGCTGAACTCAAAGCAAGAGCCCTGAAGATGCATACTGGCCCCTGCATGCTTTCTTTCCTCAGCCTGGACAAGGTGTCAGCATAGGGCTGGACCGCCAGGGCTTCCTTCTATGTGCTCAGTATACTGGTCAGCTCATCTGTTGCCCAAAGTATGGAGTCACCTGTGTGTCCGAGTACCTGAGTTTTTAGTTAGCAAGTTTAATGGGACTTACTTTTGAACTATACCTGCTGAGGTTCAGGGCAGAAAGCATAACACATGCTCTTATCCATGACACTATTTCCATTCCCTCCTCCGCTCTAACAGTCTAGCTTTGTACCCCCAACGGGCACTATTCAGTTCTCACTGAGCATGACCAGACCTCACCACATGGCTAGGATTACTTCCTCCCTCCAAAGATTTGTTAATTAAAAAACTGGCACTTCTTCAAACAGTGGGGTTCACCAGACTCTGCTGATGCCTGCCTTATATATGGATAGCTCCATTTCAGCCACAAAGGGATCCATGCTCAGGTACAGGCTTCCAAGCCATCGCTGGAAGTTAAGTCAGCATGTTGAACATCTTGAACACTGGTTTAGAACAATGGATTTATTTTGGTTAGGTTAAATAGCTGCTTCAGGCAGAAAGCATTAGAGCACAGTCCAATAGGGTACACTCTCCATGCTTGGAAGCCCCCAAACTCTGGGGCTTATGCACACCTTCTGCAGGTCAAGAGAAACAGCAGAGGTGACCTTTGGCTCTGCATTTCTCCTGGCTTGCAATTCGGCTAGATGGACTCTTTGGGTTATCTCTCTTGTTGAGCTTCAGACCTTCCCTACTCACTGGAATGGCCCCTTTACCCTTTCCTCCATGGGCACTTTTATCACCTCAGTGAAGCAGGTCAGTTTCTCAGTCTGCCAAATCTACCAAAAAGCTGCCTGCCCCTGCTTCAGATTTCTGAAGTAAAAGACATAATTGTTCCTTACCTGGTTCTCTTTTATCCAGGACAATAATCCTGAGAAACTAAAACTTGCCCAATTTCCACCATAGTAATTTCTCCTATGGGAGGAGGGGAGGAAAAGAAAAAAGAAACGGCTCAGCAAATATTCATTTTTGCAAGAGTTCTACTGCATTTATCTCAATGAATTAAGGGTAACATCCTAGCCATGAGGCTTACACATGTGCATGGGATCGAGAGAGAACAAAAGAAAGCAGATATCTATTGCACACCATTTAGAAAATACACAAACTCCATTTCAGGTACATAGGAGAATTTTGGGTAGCGTCCTGGGAAATTTTAAATATAAAATCCCCTATATTTTAAAAATATGTCTGCTGTTTCTCTACTTACAAAACAAGACCAAAAAAGGAACAGAAGGGAATCAATTGTAAACCAGAAGACTTTGTCTACTTAGCCGTTTACAGGTTTCCTGCACATCATTTAAGAATACAGCTCCCTCAAGTATCTTAGTTCCCACGAAAAGAGAAAAGGGCAAGGTTTACCTTTGCCTACTAAATTATATGCTAACATGTTATTTCTCCAAGGAATCCATTTGCAGTTTTTCAAAATGTGGTGTTTGTTCATTATCACATTTGGTAGAATACAAAACATAGTAAAGGCAATTTAATGGGCTTTACTGCAATTATTTGTCCATGTTGCAAGCTTGCCATAGAGTGGCACAAGGCGCCCTCTCGGTGCAAGTGCTGGAAATCCCATGTAACATATACGTACATATGTGAATATACCTCTCGGTGTTCTGAGAATGCACTGCTCCATCTTCTCACCCTTAAAGGCTAGAAACCTGCATTATATATAATCTGAATACTCCCCAACACTGAATTCCGTGCTTGGATTGGGTCAAGAATGACAGTGTTCCTACACAGCTCTGCCTTTGATTTGCCAGTGTATCCAGACAACTAGTTCTTCTCCTTTGGCTGGATTTGGCCCAGCTTTTAACTCATTTTACAAACAAATGGGAGGGGCACAGAAAGGCCAATCTTACAATACCATCCTTGGCTACAATTAGAGGTACTGCATATTGAAATAGTGATATGTTGCGGGTAGGGTGGCCAGATGTCCCTGCTTCACTTGCTAAAATTCCCTCTATTAAAGCTGTGGGAGCTCTGACCTCCTTTGCATCTGGCCACCCTACCCGTTGTTGAAAAGAAAAACGCCATCCCGGAGTTGTAGTAACGACTCAGGGCTTCATTAGAAGCACAAGACTCTTTACACCGCCAGAGGGGCAATGTTCTCCACTAAGGTTGCTTAGTTAGCACAATGAGGCAGATGTCTGCTAAACACCATCTAATTGTTCATGATTAGAAGCTGACCTTAAAATGTCCTTCTGCTACTTAGAGAAGCAGTACACACATTTTGCTCCTAGTTGACAAGTTACAGCCCGGGGGGAGGGGGGTGAGAGAGACAGGTGGATTTAAGCCAGTCTTATACTAGGAAGCAATCTCACCAACAGTTCTCTGATTATAAGGAGGTGCCAGATCATTAATCCCAAAACATCTCTTACTGTTGCTAGAAGCTGTATCCATTTATTTATCTTGATCAACTACTTCTCAACCGACCACTTACCAAAGATCAAAGCAAGAACGCAGTGACAGAGCTGAGAGCATCATTTCAGCCTGCAGGTGTGTGCAGATGGATCACAGTATGGATCCCCCCTGTGTTCAACACACACAGACTGTTCAGACAGCATGATAACCCACCATCAAGGGTTGAGTATGGGCAAACCGCAGGCTAGCATACTGTCTGAATCTAGCCAAAATAACAAGCCCTGACTCACAGCTCATAACCTCAAAACAAACCATGGGTTATCTTCATGGGTTGTTCATAGTTAACAAATCATGGTTAAGTAGTCTCTGGAGAGCTGGTGCAGTGGTTAGAGTGTTGGACCAGGGATCCAAATAAGGAAAGAAAATCAGTATAGTCTATTCCTCGTTTCTTTTCAGTGACCAACAGGAACAACATAAGATAAGACCAAATCACTTTCTGAAACACCTGCTCCTCCTAGAGATGAGAGCTGATAGGACTGTTCTGTTGACAGAGATCTACTCAGCTGTTGACAGAGATCTACTCATTTTTGGCCTTGCCTTGGGACACGGCTACTGGGACTGTCACGAAGGGCATCTGCCCTTCAACAAACTTCCATGCTGGATGGAAAATGCTGTCTAAATATGCACCCTAAATATTGTACCCTAAGTATTCCTTATGCTGGCTGAACAGCTTACTTCTTTGTAGTGCGATTTGAACCCTTGAATGTTTAAACTGAATTTCTGTGAAAGACACTGAACGGAAAATGTGAAGAAATATCTTCTTCCCCAGTGCTTTGGTTATTTCTACCAACAGAAGCAGAATGTATGAAGAAACAAGATCACAGACCCCAAAATAAGGTAAGATTTGCCAGGATAAGGGAAGAAAGATTTTCATGCATAAACAAAACACTTTCACAACTATATCCAATTCTCAACTTTCACAACTTCAAGTTTAAGTCAATGCCAAGCTGCATGTTCTGAATTGCAAATTACTTTTCTAAATCACTTAGCATCCATCCTTGAAATTTCACACGTCAACAGCTCATTAATATCTACAGTAAATGTAGCTCTCTGGAAAAGAACCGCAGAATTTTTTTTATAACATTTTATTGAGACAGATAGCTAGCACCCAGAAATACAGCCCCCTTCAATTACAATTTGGCAGAAGCTAACTTTGGTTTTAAAACATGACTACAGGAATTTATGGCCGGGCTGCAATGGAAGTGACTATTTTGAATAAGATTAGCTGCTCTTGATGGGCGATGCTTGGACAGTGTTTATAAATCAACAGAGGTGCTACTCAGTGGTTTATAATGGTCCACTTCAGACTATCTACCATCATCACATAAGCGGTATATTATGATAAACGTAAAACAGTGGTGGGACATTAAAAGTAATAAGATCCACCCAGGGTAATGAATCCAGGCAGAGTTGGCACATACAAAGTACTTCAAAAGTTTCATTTGACTCTCGGTTTCTCTTCTCCACTACCCTCCCACCTTTCTGTGCTTTCTATCTAATACCTATCAGAAGGATAAAGTTTTAAATTTTACACAGGCACCATCTGGAGCTGATTTAGAAGTATGACTGAGCTTCAATTTGTTTTCTTCACATGCTATTCACCTAAGAATTCCATATAGGATTTATGGATTTAAATTCTGAGGAACAAATCTAGGTGGTATTTCTTACTTATTATTTGCCAAAATTATTTCAGGTTTATTTATTGGTGAAGACAAATTCCTAGCAATAATAGCAGCCTAGTGAGTGAAATGAAAGTGGAAAATACTATCTGATACAATTCAGCCTTGAAGGGAAAAATCTAACACGCAGCTGTTCTAATCCGGGACAAGTACACATCCAAAATTACACTGCATTCTAACACATCTAAAGTTATGCTGCATCCATATATAATATATATGAACTTACAAACTGATAAGGGAGTGTTTATACATTCCCTCCCTGTGTCTACTGTTTATTTATCCACTACAAATACTTATATGGGGCCAAATAACATGGCATCCCATCAAAATTCACCCTTAAGGCACAGCAGAGCCTGACAGCTGCCATTATGAATATTCAACCTGCAATCAGGGTGAACCTGGCTGACAGGGCTTAAGCGTAAAACAATCCTTGCATCACTCTAAAGCAGGCAGTGGGTCATAGTTTTAAAATCAGCAAATGATTTTAAGAGCACTTGAGTGTACCGAAGTAGAGTTAAATGCTGCCTGTTGGTAAAGCCCTCCCAAAGCCCTCTACCAGTTCAGAAGTCAGGCAAGGTTAGCAGGCAAACCTTATTTCTTCCTCCGGGCATCCCCACCATTGTATCCTAGCTAAGGAGAGACTCCAAGCAATCTTTGGGTTCTCACCATCATTCCTCCAAATCCCCTCGGCCCTTGGGAAGTGAACAGCTGAAATAAGATGGTTCCTTTCTTATAATCTTACGGAGCAAGTCTAGGTAACATCTGGGGCTCCAAGCGCCATACCGCCTCTCCTGGAGGACCCGAGAAGGGCAGTTCAGCTTCTGAACCAGGAATATGCTCCCTGTGTCTCCTGCTTTAAAACCAAACTGCTACTTTCCCACTCCCACAAAAAATACCACATCAGTGGGGTGGGGGCGACAAGTAACCTGTGAGTTGTGTGTTCTTCACCCTGGTTGTAGATGTTGGGGTGCATCCTGCCACACTATACACACACCCTGTATCACTCTTCATAGGTCAAAAACCTCTCATAAAGCAATAGCCCCAGTCATGTGAATCATAGACATGCACTGAATGTGTAGCTATTATCAGCTATAATTGCCTGTTTTAGCCAGATAAGGATGCATTTACATTACAAAAAAGTACATGCGTTCTAGACCAGCTCCAGAACCTTTGGGAAATTTAGCATCTGTGCACAGAGAACCATACTCTAGCACCATTGCTCTTTTTCATGTAACTACAGATCATTCTAGGAGGAGTACCTTCTAACTTTTAAACCACTTCTCACATTTATAGTCACTCTGTGGAAAAGGTAATACTTTAATTTATTTCAAGTAGCCTCTCCTTAAATAAATGTTATGATGTTTCATAACAAAAAAGAAAAAGAAGTTTCCCTAGGTTAATTTTCAGAAGTTAGAGATGATACTACAATCTGTTAAAATGGCAAACTCTCAAACTTAAGAAAGCGATCTAATGCATGTCTTCTCAAGCATATAAATTAGCTCATCAGGACTCAAAAAAGATCAGTGTGAGACACGTCAATAACTGATTTTGTATTGTTCAGTTTTAAAAGGTATATAGATTTGCATTGTTCTACTGCACTATTTTAACCCAGTAAAATATACACCTAAGTCTCAGCTGTATATTTTTACTGTATATTGTTATTGTGTGTCATTATTGTATATTGTTACAGATTTCTATTTATCTTTTTGTTTTGTTTTTGTTATTTGATGGTTATATTACGTTTTTGCTTTATTTTCATTGTTACGAATTGTTTTTGCTGCAATCCACTTAGAGCCCTATCATGTGGATTGTAAGTTAAATAAATAAATAGCACTACAGTCCATCAAGTGTCAAAATAAGTCCCAAATATATAACAGAATACTCTGATTAGGAAGGAAGACTTACGAATCCACATGCAGAACCCTCTGGCCACTTCTTGAACATGCAGCTGCAATGATAGATTCAGGCAAACCTACAGGAGAGAGGGTGTAAAAACATTGGACATAAATGGGGTGAACAGTCTGAAAATGAAAAATATGATGAATAAGCTTGAAGGGAGAACATCTTAAAACAAGATTCCTGTTTATCTATTCAGTTTGATTTCTACATCTACCTTTCTACAAAAGACATGGCTAACAATAAGAAAAACAATGTAAAACAAAAATAAAGTCATGAACCATCACAAAACATACATAGTGACACACACAAGTTAGAAACACAACAATGAAAGAATAAAATAACACCCAACCCAACAGACTAGCTTACAGGGCAAAGGCCTTCTAGAATTAAAAAATGTCTTTGCTTACTGATGAGACACAGAGAGGCAGCCAACTTAGCTTAGCTCAGCAGAGAATTCCCAATACTGAGAGCAGCCATCAAGAAGGTCCTTTCTTGGGTCCCCAAGAGATGTATCTTTGAAGTTTTGAAATTTAATTTTATACTTCTCCAATAACACATGCTAGTTCAAGCATGCTACTAACATTGGCTTTTATAAGATCACCATACTTATATGTAGTCAGAATGTATTATATGTATTGCACAAGTATGTGAGCAATACTTGACCTATTTGGTCAAACCATAGGTTCAGAAACTGCTGTTGAGTATAGTTTTCTGTTTCTATAGATTTCATGGATAATCAAATAACTCTATGGCACGGAGCCATGAATTTTGGCTTGCCTTAATATTCCAGTGCTAAAGGTTGCCACTGTTAGTTTCTTGGCCCTCTCTGATGGTTTGGAAGAGAAACGCATGAAGATATAATCAAGGAGGGAAAACCGGACTTGGCGTAAATTTAGAGATGTTTTTCAAACTATGATAAACTAACTGGAATTTGATATTAGAATGTTAAAAAATATGTAGTAGGAGGTTGACCCAGTGAATCCAGTGTTTGTGATGTTTGATGTTCTTTTTTTATTGTTAGTTTAAAAATTTTACTAATATATATATATATATATATATATATATATATATATATATGCATGCTCAAGGAGGACAACAGTTTTTGCCATGTGACTGTTGGGTCCATTCCTGCCACTCCGCAGCTTCACAGTAGCAAAGACGAGTGGTTCACTTGCCCTAACAATTGTGGCAAGCCAAAAAATGTGGAAGCCTGCCCAGGGAAGCTCCCAAGCACGATGAAAAAAGCAAGAGTGCAGCTAAACATTAAGAAAGTAAATGTCACGACTACAGAAGAATTATATGATTTTAATGTCAACAATGAGGATACCAAGTCAAGGTTTGAAAAATCTTTCATAATTTTAATCATCAATTCAAAGGGAAACTGCGGCCAAGAAATGTGAAGATAACTGAGACATGGAAGGGCAGCAATGAAGGAAATGGAAAAGCTTGTCAAATGCAAGGATGTTTCACTGGAGACCAAGGCCATGATTATCTCGACTATTGTATCTCCAATCATTATGTATGGGTGTGAAAGCTGGACAGCTAAAAAAGCTGACAGGAGTAAAATTTATGTATTTGAAACATGGTGATAGAGAACTTTGTGAATACCCTGGACTGACAGGAAGGCGAACAAATGGATCCCACCTCAAATCAAGCCAAAGCTCTCCCTAGGAGCAAAAATGACAGAATTGAGGCTGCTGTGTTTTGGGCACATCATGACAAGATGCCATGGTGGAGAAAGCAACGGTGCGAGGGAAGGTCAAAGGCAGAAGAAGAGGATGATCCACTGAGTATCATCTAGAGATCTGTCAGGAGCTAGGTTTCCCCTTCTTCTTTTCAAGCTTCTGAAACAACGGATAGTCTCTTTGCAAAACAGCTCTTTACTGCCAATTCATAGCTCACAGCAACTGAAAGACCAGTCTCTTTCTACCAGTGCATCCCAATCAACCATACTGTGTCAGGGAGAGAGATGTAAGACACCAAGATCTACTCACATCCTTTTAACTAGATGTTTCTTTGCTTATTAAAAGCTCTTGTATACCATCCTACCATACAAGATCTCAGGATAGCCTACAAGAGATGTTTAGCTTCTCTTGTCCTAGCATTTCTCCTGCATTGTCTGCCTATTTTCTTCTTCATTTTCCCCTGTTTCTTCTCGTTTCTTTATTCAGCTTACTACATCCTAGTAAGCCAACCTTCCCCAACCTGCCATATGCATTTGACTCCGCATCCTAACACTCATGAACACAGGCCATGCTGTCTGAGACTGACGGCAATGTAAGTTCAGAACATCTGAAGGTTTTGAACCTACCTTCCCCAAGCTGGCACCTGACAGATGCCCTAGACTATAACTGTCATCCCCAAGAGCAGGGCCATGATGGTTGAAGATGATGGACACCATGACTAGCACAGCAAGTGGACAGCTTGCTGGGGAAGGCTGTTTAAACAAGGCGCTGGCCAACAACAACGACCTCTTCAGATGTTTAGAACTTCAACTCCCATATGCTTCTGCCAATAGTCAGGAATGCTGGAGGTAGAAGCCCAAACATCTGGAGCTTTACCTTCTGTCCACCCTAGTTTAAACCATGAACTCGTTTCACAACATTGGCAGTTAAGCAGTACAGAAACTTGGCAAAGAAACTAAATGTAAAATATTGTAATCAATGCATAAAAGCTGTACAAGTTAAAGAAATGCTATTCGGGCTTTTGCTGTCCTAGCCAATGGCTCCATAGTAGCCTCCATACTGCAGTAAAAGAGATCTGCAGTGAATTCTATGTGGACAAGGAACACAGTTTTCCTCTCATAATATATAGAAGGTGAAACCAATGCTGTCTATCACATCAGGTCATTAAGAGGGCCAAGCCAATAGCCCTGCAGATGAGTTTTCTGCAAGATCAGCAAAATGACTCTAACAAAATCAGGAATTGGTATCAACCTAGGAAGCATTCTAATCTATTTCATATCTTGAGTTGCCCTTAAGGTAGAAATTTAGACTTTCAGCAACTTTTTCGTCATTTTTAAGGCCTACCTTTTTGACAGATAGTGGAAGATTTAATCTCAACTGGCAAAACAGGGGAAAAAAGGTTATGAAGTTTCAGTGCTGGTTTCCAGCATCAATTGCTACTTCGCTGTGATAGAACTTCATGTAGCACTTGGTTTTTACCTACGATGGGGCTGGGGGAGATTAAAAAAAACTCTATACCAGAAATAGATGAAAGTTTATTTTGTCAAGTAGACAATTCTAAAGGCATTTGGAATACCAAATCACAGGCTGAAGTCTTTTCCTTAAGCCGTCTTTCAAACTTTCATGAAACATCTCTAGTTCTATGAACCAATTAGCATCATGATTTCCATTCAAGAAATATTACTTGGCTAAAGTGTCCACTTCCTCCTGTTGACACATTGTTGGTATCACAGCAAGGCACACTGCTACAGACAGCATCTGTACTCAAGCCTTTAAATCTTACAGCAATGCATACCAAAATTTCAAAATTACTATCTGTAATTAAGTAGCAATGACCTTGCAATTACTATCATCAAGAAATTGCTAGGCACTAATTCATGGGCTGAAGACACAAATAATTTTTGCTCTCCGTGCAGTTAGCAAAATTAATAATATATTAACAGTTCTAATCTTGAAAATTAATGTTGGACACAATGGAAAAGGAAAACTCCAACAAAGAACAGCTTTGGTTTAAAAAAATTACAAAGACACATTCCAAGCATTTGGTGTTAAAGCTGAAGAACACCCATTTCAACTTAGATCTAGAAGAGAAGAACTAGGCAAAACCTTTGCATTTGTTTAAAAAAACTGTTTAAACAAAGACAGTTCAGGCCTCAGCAATCTTTTGCAGACGATCCCGATCAGGCTGTGTTAACCAAAATGACAGTCCATAGTCAATATCACCGCCATATGCTCAAATCAAGTGACTACTGGGGTGAAAAGCTAATAAATACACAATAAAAACGGATTGCTGGAACAAGTGTTTCACATAAGAAAAGGATGGGGAATTGTTTTCCAGAGCAAGTCCCAAATTAAATCTCAAAAAAGTTCTTGAGGGATTATGTTCAAATAGTGGTTGGGGCCACAGTCACAAGGAGTAAGGCAGTCTCCCCCCTACCTACAAACCATGCCACCATGATTGGATTTAAAGCTCTTAACACTGCTTACAACCAAACCTTTAGAGAGGAATTTCAGGCAGAAAAGGTTCAAATTAGCTTTTAAATATGTGTGTTATTGGGTTGTTGTATCTTCTTGCTAACTGTTTTTAGATTTTTTTTAAAAAATGTTTTGATTGCTCTGACCCTTGAAGGTTTTATTTTGTTTTTATCATATTGTGGTTTGGATTTTAATTTTTGTAGACCAGCAGCTATTAGGAGGTATAGAAATGAAATAAATGAAATGAAATTCGTTGTGCCCCACAGAGATAATGGAACTCTGGTGGTGGAGGCTATTCTGGAAGACTGCAGAAGCCACATGGGCACCTAGTAAAGGCACCTTTCACATCCTCGCAGCAACCCCCAAACTTTGATGGTAGGAAACTTGAGGAATGGAAAAGGTTTGCCCAATTCTTTAGACAAGGAGCCCGAAATATTAAGTAAAGCTGGAGAATTACTACTTCAGAGGACAAATGATCAACTGCTCATTTGTGGCTTTTTATATAAGGATTCAACTCAGTACCTCTCCATTCCTATGCAACAAATCTACAGAGATTTAGCAAGCATTCAGCTCCAACATTAGTGCTTAAGCTAATGAAATGTTTCGGAAACTCAAAGGCCTGTTATGCAACTATTTTTTTTCAATCTCAAATATCCTTTACAAGAAGTCCAGGGGTACTTCTTTGGTGGTGATGGTGAGGAGCTTTCTTGCTGTGCCAGATGTTTATTTGCTTGCATAAAAAGGAAACATGCTTCTTTATGAGCATTTGAGCTATGAAAACAGGAAACAACTAATAACAGAATAAAATTGTGTCTCCAAATGTTCAGCAGCAATCAAAACATTTCGGAGGTGTTTTTTTTTTGAGGGGACAGAGTTAAAAATCAGCATTGCTAATGCTTCTCTTCGTAACTCATCTCTCTGCTCATTGCTCTTATATTTGGTTAGTTTGCCACAATAGATTTTTAAAACTGTATTAGTATCTGGAATTGATTTTTCTTAACACTATACTTACATAAGATAAACATAAAATAAAGTACTACCACCACTCCTGGCATATCGAACAATAAATAATAGAATCCCTTGACAGGACTTTGATGACTGTGCAAAGCCCAAATGCTTTCAGCCAAAATCATATGGAGCCATAAATCACTCTTATTTTATAGAATATTTCAAAATGGATTCCTGCTTTCTACCTTGAAAGTCATTTCATGTGTTATTTATAACTAGTGAAGACCAGAAAGAGAAAGGAGGAAAAAATTGCATGGAACCAGAAAATTTACAGTGACTGGTTTTCATTTTGGAGGATTTTTTTAAAAAAGAAATATAAAGAACAACTTCTATTTTAAGGAAAAATGCAGAGGGAATAGAAGTACTAGGACACAAGTCAGAGAACACAAATACCTTTCAGAAGGGAATGGGATTTTATTTTATAACTTAAACAGCAGCTAACAAACAGTACCTAAGACTTACTGCAAACAAATTTAAAGGTTGAATACAAGTCATAATCCAAACAGGGACAGAAGGAAGGATCTGGTTGCATTCTCAGTCTATGGTACTGCAATTCAAAGGGCTTTGCACTGCCAGCCAGCAATTCCAGACCTTAGCTCCTCCATTCCAATTGCTCCTACCAAGTTCTACTGGCAAGACTGGATCTAGGAATGCCCATTTTTTCTTTTCTTGTTGCATTGCTTCCCAATGTCACCTACGGTACAACCTATGATTCCTGAGAGTAACACTCCAAAGCAGAAGTATCGACAGTTAGGTAACATGCACTCATTCCCCTGAGAACACAAAAAACACAAGTTCATACAATGAAGCAGCAGAAGCCTCAATGGGACCAGTGAGAAAAAGATGAGCACAAGTACCTTAATAGATTTCTTAATATTAATAAATTAATATTTATTTATTACTTGAACCCCCTGCTTTTCCTCCCAACCGAATGCAATGCACACAGGCCCAGTTCAGATATCATACTAAACCCTGATGTGTTTTTACATGTTGGGCTGTTGTAAGAGAAGCAAGAGCAGGTCAGCTGGTTATCACCGCTCAAGTACTTGGGCTGCAGCCAGGCAGAGCTACAATGCCCCGGGGAATGCAGAACTCTGGGCTAACAGAGCCCAAACCTGCCCTGAGACAACCCAGAATTGTAACCCATAGTTCCCTCTTGGATCCAAAATCTGGATTGTCTCTCCCTCTACCCTCAACAACAGAGTTCCTCAGGCGGACATCATGCTAAACAGCCCAAGCCATGGAGCCCTTTTGCAGAGGGTTGGACTCTGTGACCAACACGTGGTCATCACTCCCAGTTCTGAAGCCCTGACACAGCAAAGGGCACATTTTTAAAATTTTAGTGTTCTCTGCTAACCCTGCTGGCAGGCTTATATCTAATGGGGTTCAGTCACAGGATGGTAGATTACAGCTGAATATTGAGAGAAACTCCTTGCAGAGCCTGGACTAGATGGTCTACAAAGGCCCTTCCAGATCTTATGATGTTATGTTGCATATCTTGCAAGCTCAGAATATAAAATGGAAATTGTGACCTACCATACAGGTCTGTTTCAAAGATGAATAAATTGGCACAAAGTGCTAAATACATTTACTCTACCTTAGAAGTTATTTGACATAAACCAAGCAGTAGTAGTAATATTATGTCCCCACAGAAAGAATGTCCCATAGCATATTAAAGATCATCATATTTATTATTCCATAACATTTCTAGACTAAAGTTCCAATGGGCTTGCAACATTTAAAGACATGAAGTCAGGAGGGAGGGAGGAAGACTTAAGGACAGTGGTAATATAGAATAATTGCAGGGGGGGCAAAGAAGTAGAGATTAGGCAAAGCTACATTCCCAGTACATAGCAGAGTTCTTAGCCATTGGTAGTGAGAAAGGCTGCATTGTAACCTGGATTCAGCTTTATTTCTGGCAGGGCTCCTGTGTAACTACATGTAAGCCAAAAATTTAGTTCTTGAAGACCTTCCTCACACTTCATCTGCAAGCCAGGGAACGCTTGGCATGCAGAAATTTTGCTCATCCCCAGGCTCCAGAGAATAAGCTGGCAATACTAGCCCTAAACATTGACTGCCTACAGAACTTTTAGGTACATAGGACAAGCAAGTCCCATGGTGCTTGTCCCATGGGAGCACCATTTTCATTACCCTCTCAGCAAAACACACGCACAGAGACCACAAAAACAATCACTGTGTGACAGTTAAGATGAGGTCTGCATTGCATGTCATGTGAAGCCATCTGCAAAGTAACAGTTTTAGGGAGAAAAGATTCTCTTTTCACTTTCCCTACCAAGCACATGCCAACTGCTGCAGAGGGGAAAGCCATGGAAAAGTTTTACCTTAATGCAGCCTCCTTCAAGTTAGTTCCCTCCACATAGTTAGGACCAGAATTTCCACTGGGTTGACAGAACCTTAGAAAAGTAGAATTGGAAGGGGCCAGAAGGCCATTGAGTCCAACTGCCTGCTTTCAGAGCTATACCACTAAATTATACCATCGCATTCAGATGACTGTCCACATGCTTTTTGAATGTCTCTGGTAAGGGAGAGACCACAACCTCCTCAGGTAAAAGGTAATAGAAGCTGTAGTCCAACACATCTGCAGGACACCAAGTGAGGGACGACTGTTTATGAGCTTCCCAAAAGCACCTACTTGGTCACTGTGCAAATCCAGAAAGCTGGACAAATTCAGGAAGCTAGGCAGAAGGTTTGTGTCCAGAAATCTTAGGTGTCATCTTTCAGAAGCCCCTTCCAGCATGGTCAATGCCCAGGCACGGTGAAAGCAGAAGTGTAAAAAAATAAAATAAAATAAAAAGTAGCAACCTATGTTCTGTCTGTCTCTGGTCTAGATGGCTCTTCAATGCAGATTGTCTGGTGGTTGTTGTTGTTGTCGTTAAGCATGTAGCCTTTCAAGAGAGTTACAGTTACCCCCATGTTATTGCCTAACACCAACAGTAGGCCAAACACCATACAGAGAACAGACACGCTGCAGATCCTTCCCAGATAACAGTTAAAAATAAGTAATACATTTTAATGGGGAAACTGTCCCACTGATCGCACCGGTAATCCTGACATGATCTTCTACTGCGGATAGCAGTCTTTTAAAAGGCTGTTCCTAACCATAATTGAGAGGAAGGCAACAATATTCGAGAAATGGTGTATTTCTTGAACGGAAGATGAGCCATGCTGAATCAGAGCAGAAGTCCATCTAGTCCCACATGCTGTTCATACAAGGGCCAACCCGCTGCCAGCAGGGAACGCTCAAATAGGACTTGAGCGAAACAGACCCTTCTCACCCAGTTAGAAACATAGAAACAGAGCGAGTCAGAAGGGACCTCCCGGGCCATCTAGTCTGACTCCGGCACCAGCCGGCTCCGCTCACAACATGCCCACCATGTTCCCCCACAACTGCTTGACAGGAGCATACCGCCTCTGATCCTAGAGGTAGCATATAGCCATCAGGACTAGTACTCACAAACAGCCTTTTTTCTGTGAATGTAAGCACTCACCTTCTAAGCTATCATAATTGGTGGCCATCGAGAGATGGTGTGGACGTGACATCCATCATTTAACTATGAGCTGGGTGAAAAAGGATTTGTTTTGATCTGTCCCGGGCATCCCACCAATCAGTTTCACGCCACATCCTCTGTGGGTTCCAGTATTATGACATTCTCTTCATCCCCTTCTCCACAACCTCCATCATTGAGTAAAGGGGTGTCCTTACTCAACGTTTTCTAAGCTTAAACAACCCCAGATGATGCAACATTTTCTCATAGAGGACAGGAAAAAGTGGCTTCATTTACCACTCGAAATACGCAAGGCAAAAATGTATTCCTTCTCACCAAAAATAAAATAAAATAATAAAAAGACGGGGAAGTAGTGCTAGTCCATCGCGACAAAAAAGAAGAACAAAAGTCTGGTGGCACTTTAAAGTAATCAGGCGCAGCTTTCGGGGCCTGAAGCCCACCCATCAAACGCATTAAGGGGCACGTCAGACGGGCAATCAGATGAATGGGGATGATGGGCACCGTGATCCGCGACGGCAGAGGGAGAGCAGAAGCCGAGTCCTTCCGGGACCCGTTACAATGACCGTGCACGCAAGCTAGAAGGCACGCTGCTTCGACACCGTAATGCAGGGAGGTCAGCACAGCGAGGGGACAGGACGGCGACGGGAGGCACGCGAAGATGAGGCGGGGGTCTCGATCCGCACCGCCGCCGTCCCGCCCGGCGCCCTCGGTCCCAACCCGCCTCCACCCGCGGCTCCTTTCCTTCCCCGCTTTCAGCAACGCTTCCTTCTTGACCCGAGACCCCCCCGTGCCTCCCCGCAACAATTCGCACGTTACAGGAAGGCCGATCCCCCACCCGTCCGCACGCGCCTTACCTGTTCCTATGACCACCACGTCAAATTCCGAGGGCAACTTGTCCGCCATCTTTGCAGGCAGAAGCGGCCGCGGTCATATGACCCGCCGCGAGTAACTCCTGGCGGAAGCCAGGCGCCCACCCGGCGCACTTCGCCGGCAGGAAGGAAGGGCGGATGTAAGGCCGCCTCGCGGTGCCTCGCGGGAAGCGTAGTTCTTTGGCCCCAGAACGGGACGGAATCGCTCTCCGCCGCCTTTCTCCGTTCCACGCGCAGCCGAGATGGGAGCTCGTTCCCGCAGGCGCAGTAGCCACGGCCGTGGGAGAGCCGGCCGCAGATGTGCAGCCCAGCGCAGCCGGCAGGGGCGCCAGTGGCGGAGGGTGGAAAAGAAGCCGCGCTGTTCTTGCGGTGGCGTTTGCTCAGCCGTGCGTTCGGTTTATCGCTGGCTCAACTTTCCGCAAAGAAGCCCAAGGAGTTGCGCGTGATTCTTCATTTTGGATTCATAGAAGACTAGAGCTGCAAGGGGCCAAGAGGCCATCAGGTGTAGCCCCTGAGGTTGCAGGACACCAGTTTACACCATCCCGTTCAGAGGGCTGCCCAGTTTCCCCTTGAATGTCTCCAGTGGTTCCACTGTGGTCTTACGCTGACAGTGAGGAAGCTTTTCCTGATGTCCCGCCTGAATCTGTATTGTCGCCATTGACTGATTTTGAGGAAGGTCATCTTAATACTACAAAGGGTTTCCATTTTTGTCTGCCTGGAGGTCAGCCCTTTCTTTGAAGAGCTGTCCAGGCCAAGTCTAGAAGACGGCACACACCTGGGACTTTGAAGTTGCCCAAGGCTTAGGACCTGGACAACCGACCGAGCAAGGCACTCGGGTCACCCGGCCACAGTCTTGCACGCCACATATCTCTTCAACTTATTGGCATCATTTCTAAATTGGCATCTCTGCACGCATGTTAGCCTATGCGCATTTAATGCAAATGGGAGCCCTCTTTTCCAGCAATGCACTGCCTTGTTTTGGCCACCCAAGTGGCAGCTGCTGTGGGCTTCTGTCTTCCTTGCTACTTAATGTTTGGCACAGCTGAGGCCTGGGTCTCAAAACAAATTCCAGATGGAGCCCCATTTACTTGTCGGACACTGTCCTCATCTGGTTATTCTCGCTGTGGCTCCACAGAGCTGGACCTCCAGAAAGTGTGTGAGGATATATTCAAGCCTTAACACTTGATATCATAAGGGGTAATAACCTGACTGGCAGTCCATTAACACCTTGTTATAAGCCCCGTGCTTATTCACCAGAGAATCGGAGAGAGATATGAAAGAGCTAAAAACCACTAATGGAAACCAGAGGCTGTAAGCAGTAAGAATCTGCAAGAGGTGGCAAAGTTAATGCACAGCACTGGGGAGCAGAAGCCTTGGAGGCAGAAAACCTGAGATGTTTTTATCTCAAAACAGGATCTTGTAGAGCTGCAGAAAGGGGCAACCAAACAGGATGGTCTCTATATCCCCCAGAAGAGAGGACAAAAGGGAGCATGTGATTTGCATAAATGTGCATATGCTAATTTATGGGTATGCTTGTCAATTTAGAACTAATATAATTTTGAAAGGAACATAATGCATCTCACCATATGGTCACTGTGTGCTCACTTAGTCCTCTGTCCAGGTGCTAAAATCTTCAAACTGGACTTGGACTGGACAAGCCTTTAAGTTCCCTTCTGTAGGTGAGGACATAGGACTCTCCCAAAGTAAAGTTATTAGGGAACTAGAGCAACTCATTTGTAAGGAAAGCTTGCAACATCCAGGGTTTTTTTCTTCTGATTCTTTAGGTTTTGAAAAAGTGGTGATTAAAAGCTATAGGCACTTTCCTGAGACGAAGTCTCACTCAACTTGCCTAGAAGTTTGCTGTAAAACTACGTTCCTATGCAATCTTCCCTGGGACCGGAGATGTCAGAGAAATCTGTAACACACTCAAATAGGTTTGTCTTTCTTTGCAGTAGCCCTGCTTTTCTGTGGATCTGAGAATCTCTTCATTGCTGGGGACAGAGGATTTGCACGAATGCAGATTTGCAAATAAAGTAAATTCTCCTGCTGTTGTTATGTGTCCTTAAATGAGTGATTGCTCTGCAAAGTATGCTGTCCTCGATAGTGCTGCTTCTATATCCTTAAAAAATCCAGCTGCAGAAGCAGTTGATGGAATGAAAGCCAGTCCACAGAACACACAGAGAATGGGTTCAACACGCTTGTGCAGCCACTTCCCTACTGGATTCCTGCCCCTCCTGGCATATCGAAGCGAGAAAGGAAGAAATAGCTGGCTGGGCCAGGGAGGCCATTCATGCCTCTTTGCAAGACGGAGAAGTCCCAGGATCCCTTAAAGAAACAGTGGTGAAGAAGCCCTCCCTTGACTCAGAAAATCTGAACAACTTCAGGCCAGTAGCAAATATTCCTTTCTTGGCAAGGTTCTAGAGAGGATGATTGCCAGTCAACTCCAGGCACTCTTGGATGAGACGGATTATCTGGACCCATTTCAGTCCGGTTTCAGACCCAGTTTTGGCCTCGATCAGCCTGTACGATGACCTATGCTGGGAGAGAGATGGGGAGCGTGACCCTGTCGATCCTGCCGGACCTCTAGGTGACTTTCGATTCCATCAACCATGGTGCTGGCCCCATCTATGGAAAAACCTCTCCACTGCAGCCTAGCTGGCCCCAAATCTGTCAACTTTTCGGTGCCAGGCGAAGACATCCCTCTTTTCTGAGACTTTGAGGACTTACTTGACCATCAAGGTCCTGCAGGGGATCCCTAGGTATTTTGCAGGGTCACTCTTGTTATTTCTTGTTTATCGTCTTTATCATCTGTTTTTAGCAGTTTTAAATTTTGTATTGATTTTTATTATTTTTAATTGCATTTTTATTATCCATTTTATGGCTTGTGTAAACCACCTAGAGAGTTTCAGCTGGGGGCTGCAGAAAGATGAAATAAAAAGCAACAATGGCAAGAATAAAATCGGTATATCCCTGCTAGGGACTTACACATGTAGGGGATGGTACTGTAATGGGGTGGCATGATAGGGATGTAAACAATTATGCATGGTGCATAGACAGGAGTTTTTCTCCCTCATAATTCCAGAGCTCAGGATCATCTATGAAGCTTATCAGCAGGAGATTCAGGGTAAGCAATAGAAGGTCCTTCTTCCACATTTTAAAGCATAGCATTTCCTTCTACAAGGTTTACTGATAACCACCAACTCCAACAACTCTAAAGGGCGGTTGGACATATTTATGACAGATACGGCTATCCGTGGCTATTAATTGTGGCCATAATTTAGCTCCAGTATTAGAGCAAACTTGCACGTAAGCGCCAGCAGCAAGATGGTGAAGTGCTGTGCTGATGGGCTTCCCAGAGGCGTTGGTTGGCTACTGTGGGAAATAGGATGCTGAACTAAACAGGGCTTTGGCAGGATCCAGCGGGGCGCCTTTTATGTTCGTAAAATACAATAAAATACCATAAGAGAAAGGACAGGCTTTGTTCAGATATGCAGAGTGCAACGTTGGGTCAACTGGATGTGATGAGCCTATAGTTAATGCAGTGGAGCTGACAACAGCATGGAAAACGGCATTCCTGGAATTACAGGGTAGGATGTACAGCCCCCTTGATAAATAAATAGTTTCTAAATCCTTGCACAGAAATATCGTTCAATGGGCATTGCTTGTCCTACTTTTCCACAAGCTTAGTCCTGCCAGTGGACTAAGCCAGACCTGATGTTTCTGGTGTGTTGGAGGAGTGTGGCATTGAAGAATGGGAGGACACAAGTGGGAACCTGGAAGTGTGATGGCAGTTGCCATCTCAACACATCTGGTTAATATCAGGTTGGAGGAAACAGCAGAAGCGGTTTGGGGCTTAAACAAGCCATTTCTCCTTTTCTGCTTCATTTTCATTTCCAGCTGATGGAACATCCTATGGTTCGTGATGTCCACTCAGCATGCTGTCCTCTTTCAGATGTCTAAGGGTAGACTGCTCTCTCTTGATTTAGATTTCTTTAACTCTCAAATTAACAGAAAGAAAGATGTGTGTGTAGCAGCAGCAACCATTCCTGCGGATTTATGGAGGGGAAAAGGGGCCATTCCATCCGGCCTTATTTTTCATTCTCCTCTTTCCTTTTTCCTTGTGTGTTGTGTCTTCTTAGACTGCAAGCCTCTGCACTCAAGGACTGTCTTGTTTTTTCTAATTATGCATAAGCCACTCAGGAGCCTCTGGGGCTGAGGATAAAAATACTTAAAATAAATAAATATGCTTGCAAAGCATGAGATTCCCTTTTGCTTTGCAGTCTCTCCCACTCCTTTCTCAGTGGCCCTGTTTTGGCTCCGTTTCTTTCAGCACAGGAGAGGGTGCGGCAAGGGAGCAAAAGGAGTGTATTATTTTAGGGATTGTGCTCATGCCCCATCAACTAGCAGTGAGGGCTATGGGGCTGCACCAAAGGCCTCATGCGAAAAAGAATGCGACAGCCCGAAAAATCCTGGAATTTTACTAGGGAGTGCGAAGCTTAAGGTGCAGCAAGAGAGTGGAAGTGACCTTGTTAACCAGCGATTCCTTGGAGCCAACGCATGATGGTATTGGAGGACGGCTGCTATTTGGAAGAGAAGAGGAAGAAAAAGGGTGAATCACGGCTGTGGAGCAATGCGAAGCCATTCACTCTTTTCAATGCTCCTTTCATTCCGCTAGAGTGGTCGATACTGTTGGCTTTTTTAGAGGCCAAACGTGGCCTTTGAGAGCAAGAGAAATGTCCACCTTTTTCAAAAGGACAGTGTGTGTGTGTAGCAAAACTGTGTGCATAAAAACATACGCAAACTAATGTCAGATGAGGACTGGGCACTGCGCCTGAGAGTTGGAAAAAATGGAACATGTGAGCCAGGGGAAGGGAATCTAACCGAGCCCTTCGGATGGCATGGCTTAGCGGCACCTGAAAAGGAGTGCACCGACTAGAAAGCGACAAGAGGACTATACTGCACGATCCTATAACATGACGGTTGGCACCGAGGACTGGGCTGGTTGTGCACCTGCTGGGGGCCCACTGACAAGCGCTCATGCAACGCACTCCTTTGCTCGCCGCTCC